TAGATTTTGTAATTATATCTAGAATATTGTAACTATTTCGTATAAGTATAGGTATAGAGATGGTTAAGTTTCAATTGATATTATGAACAGGTGAATATTAGGCCATCAATAAATACCTGAAATCGCTGGATGGCCGTTTCGCCCTAGTGCGGCACTCCTCAGCAGTGCTCATCCACCACTCCTCCCTGCAAGATTCGAACCCAGGACCTATCAGTCTCGCGCGAGCGCTTAACCTCTAGACCCCTGAGCCGGCATCCAACGTTGTTAACGTTTAAATTATGTAGATAGAATTAGTTATACCATCAATGAATAAAATATATTTATCAAGTGATTCAAGTTTAATATAGAATCTGTCTATAAAATGAAATATTTAATGCCTTAAATGTTCTTTTGTCTTTAAAAAAATTTCCCTGAGAGCTATGCAAAGCTATTTCTACCGTATATTTTATGTGATACAAGTTACCAGTGATTGAGTTTTTTAACTTCTCTCAGAAACTAGTAAGTAGTTTTCTCAACATTAAATAACTAATCTGTTTACCAAACTTATATCATGATCTTTATTGAATTTATTAAACTATTTACTGTTACATTATATTGTTAAAGAATATTGATTTGATCCAAAAAAGAAAACCCTTATTAAATCTCAACCAGTTAGTTAAACAATAAAGGTTTTTCACTAGTTGAAACCATGAGTCGATTGAGGTTAGACCACCATTGAAAGCCTGAAAGCACTGAACAGCCGTTTCGTCTTCCTTTGAGACTCCTCAGCAGTGCGCATCCACGGTCCAGCCCCCCGCGAGATTCGAGCCCAGGACCTATCAGTCCAGCGCCAGGCGCTTAACCATTAGACCACTGAGTCGGCATCCAACAGTGTTAATATCTAACTTTAACCGATCTATAAAATTGCGCCACCGTACACCATTTTCTTCAATGAGCTGATATCTCACAACAGACCCAGTTGAACTCCACTGGCCACTGCTTCTCACTAGAATTCCAGAAAATACCTCTTGAAGTCAGTCTCCAGTGAGCAGATGATAATTATAAAGATTTTAACAGATAGGTTTATTAGTTCGAAAACACGAAATATTCAGTAATCATGTCATGAAGCTCATTTATTAGTTATGTATTTGACTTTCATTTAATATGTAATACATGTTTACACTTTTTACACACAAAAAAATAATTCATGTGTTTATTTAGCTTTAGGTCTAAATTCACAATTATTTATTTCTGTAGCTAAATTTACAACAACAACAACAATAACAACAAATACATATTTAATATCATAAGACAAGTTATTATAGATTTGAACGGAAATGTTTCAATTCATTTTTATGGTTAACATGGTAACTGATTAAAATCACTTTTAAACTAAAACCAATCACCATAAAAATTGCTGTACCAATCGATTGTAATCTATAAAGCAAACTAGTTCATTATTAAATAAACGATCTATCGAACTTTATGCTGTTGTAAATAATCATTTTTCCTTCAATAATTCCCTTTCTTATTTTAAAATATATTTGGTTTGGTAATTATGTAAGAGTATTGAATTGTGTAATGTAAAATACTATCATCTTACTTACTTACTTACTTACTTACTTACTTACGCCTGTTACTCCCAATGGAGCACAAGCCGCTGACCAGCATTCTCCAACCCACTCTGTCCTGAGCCTTCCTTTCTAGTTCCATCCAATTCTTGTTCATTTTTCTCATGTCTATTTTCATTTCCCGGCGTAATGTGTTCTTTAGTCTTCCTCTTTTACTTTGACCTTCAGGATTCCATGTGAGGGCTTGTCTTGTGACACAGTTCGGTGCTTTCCTCAATGTGTGTCCTATCCACTTCCAGCGCTTCTTCCAGATTTCTTACTCCGCTGGGATCTGGTTTGTTCTCTCTCACAGTACGTTGTTGCTAATAGTGTCCGGCCAATGGATCTGAAGTATTTTGCGTAGACAATTGTTGATAAACACCTGTATTTTCTGGATGATGGCTTTGGTAGTTCTCCAGGTTTCTGCCCCATACAGTAGAACTGTCTTGACATTTGTATTGAAAATACTGACCTTTGTGTTGGTTGATAGTTGTTTTGAGTTCCAGATGTTCCTCAGTTGTAAATATACTGCTCTTGCTTCGCGGATCCGCGCCTTCACATCTGCATCAGATCCATCCTGTTCATCAATAATGCTGCATAGATGTGTAAAGGTTTTTACATCTTCCAAATCTTCTCCTTTAACTGTGACTGGATTGGTGCATGCTGTGTTGTATCGGAGGATTTTGCTTTTCCCTTTGTGTATATTGAGACCTACTGCTGCTGAGGCTGCTGCTACACTGGCCATCTTCTCCTGAATTTGTTGTTGCGTGTGCGATAGAAAGGCCAGATCATCTTCGAAGTCTAGATCGTCTAACTGTCTTCATGATCCAGTCGATCACCAGGAGGAAGAGAAAGTATGAGAATAAGCAACCTTGCCTGACACCGGTCTTTATTTCGAACGACTTTGTCAACTGTCCTCCATGCACGATTTTGCAGTGCGATCCATCATATGAATTCTGTATGATATTGGCTATCTCCTCAAGCACACCGTAGTGTCGAAGAAGCTTCCATAGTGTTGTTCTGTTCACGCTATCAAATGCTTTTTCGTAGTCAACTGCTATTACATACACAGCAATAAATACTGCAAAAGACATCTAATGTAGCGCCGAGAATTACAAAAGAAAAAAAGGACGATTCTGAACACCAATGCATTAGGCAGCAACTAAATCACGCTGGTTGGCGAAGCGCTGGAAGAGATGAAAGCGTTTAAATACATAGACAGCATAATGCCAAACACAAAGGATATGATGCTAAGGTTGAAACACAAATAAGAGGGCAAAAAGCAGCATTTCTATAACTGGAAAATATCTGAAATTTAAAAGAACTGTCACCCAAGACGAAAGTCAGAATTTTCAACAATAACGTCTAAACAATTCTATTGCATGGTCTTGAGAACTTAAGCACAACCACAACCACCATCAGAATACTAGAAGTTCTTACAAACATCAAACTATCAAATTGCATGATTGTGTATGCGTCCACTAGTAATCCTCATAGCAATGGGAATGAAGGCAGACCATAAAACAGACGATGTGTAAATTAAGGCGAAAAACTAAGAGCATGAGTAGAACTTGATAACACTTAGAAGGTAGAACCAAGAACAGATTTGTTTGGAGATTCTTGATTGAATTTCTATGCCTCAAGATGAGTAACTAGCTCAGATTAGTAGGTAAACGGTAACTCCGACTCAATTAATAAAGCAAATTATATTTCCAGCGGGAAAAAAAGAACAAATTATAAGCATTTTTACAATATCCTATAAAGATGGCTATATTTAGTCAGATTTGTAACCAATTATAATTAGATGATAAAAAAATACTTGCAGCTGGATTGCATAAACTAAATGTGTAGCATTTTCTAAATATTAGGTATTTTGCATTTTGTTTCGAGATATAAATTTTATTCAAGAAACAGCTTTTTGATGAGATAATTATTAAAAATATATACTGTGAAGATGATACATTTTGATCAATCTTCTGTATTCTACAGTTCACACTTTTTAATCAGACACATTATGACCAGTGGACTCCAACATGGTCTGTTGTGAGATAGTAACTCATTAATGACAATGGTGGATGTGTCGCTCAATTTCGTGGATTGGTTGAAGATAGACATTAACACCGTTGGATCCTGGTTAAGTAGTTTAGAGGTTAAGCTTTCGCGCTTGAGACCGATAAGTCCCGGGTTCAAATCTCATGGGGCGGGATCGTTGGTGAGTACTTCTGTGGAGTCCCACAGCAGCACGAAACGGTCGTTCAGTGCTTTCAGGTTTTCCATGTTGGTCTAACTTCAATTGACTCATGATATCAACTATTAAAATTACTATAATTATCCACGAAACCCCTTCTGATATTATGATTTATCGCCATTCACATCCAAAGATACTGGTGCGTGACTCTCTGATTTCTGGCCTAGTTGATTGTATTAATCACAACTTCATTCAACTGTACTGAATGCATTTTACCATATTAGTACAAAATATTACAGAATACATTTATACTTACGTTCATCATTATAATAAGTCTTATTGTAAATTAGTTCTATTGACAGATTGAATAATATGTAAATTCAATACAACCTTCATTTTATCCTTCAAAATTTTCTACATATACTACTTAAATCTATTTTGTTCACAAAATGAATATGAAGATTTTATAATCAAAAATTTTATTCTATGTAAAACCTAAATTTTTTATGTACACTTTATTTTCACTATATATTTACTATACAAAATTTGGTTTTTTATCTAGATGTAATGAGTTCATTGTGATACTGATCTGACACAACCAAAGATGGAGGAGAAAAACTAACAAACAAGCAAACATCAAACTAACAGATTTTACTTCAAAAAATGTATAAATAATTTATATGTGAATTTTCTAATATTTATTCACTTCGTTGAGATAAGATAGGGGTTAGAGATAGTCAACAGGAAACTAATCTACTTCGATACTAAATTTATGTTATTTTTTTTAATTTTAAAATAAAGTTTAATAATATCTGTTTATAGACTAGTATAGGATAATAATGTCTTGAAATAGTCATATTGTTAAACATTTACGTCATGTATTCTTTTCAGATTTAAGAATATACATTTCTGACCGATACTTCAAAATTATGCATAATCACTTAATAGTATACTTTTGAAGATTACTCAATAAATAATTAGTAGAGTTTAACTGGGTCTATTATAAGCTAATAACTCACTGAATACAATGTTGGATGATGGCATAATTTCATGAATTGATTTAAGTTAAACAATAACATCGTTGAATACCGGATCAATGGTGTAGAGTTCAAGCGTTCACTCGCGAGACCGATAGGTCCTAGGTTAGAATTCCGCAAGTGGGATCACGGATACGCAATACTAAAGAATCCTGTACTAGGACGAAATGATTATCCGGTACTTTTAGGTTTTCCTGAGTGGTCTAGTTTTAATTGACTCATGAATTCAACCATTATAATTACTATAATATCCACAAAACTCCTTTCTGACTATATATTATAGTTTGTTAGATTATTCACAATATTGTGATACATAAAAATCGAAAACAAAAACAACCAAACAATAAAATCTTTCAATAGAACACTTTAAATTCATTTCACTTTAATCATTACGAGCATTAGTTTTATTTAAAGTTTGGAAAGAGCAAATTTCAATGTAAGTTTATGCTAGAAGAACGACAAATGAAATATATACAACCTATTTCAAAGTTATCCAAATATATTTTAAATCTCTTGTAAGAGTGATGCTGTCAACTAGATCATTATTATTATTATTGTGATCTAAACATTTACATATACTTATGATATAATAAACGTTTTATTGATCATAATTAGATAAACATATTTACCCTCACTTATTATGGAATGTTTTTATCATTGTATTTCTATATATTCAATATAATAAATGAAAAAAAAAAGTTATTTTCAATGTCATTACTAAGCATGCAAATAATCAATGTATCAAATGATACTTTACATAAATATTCCCTGGAATGTTTGATACATTAAAGTAAAGATTCTCCTCTCATTGTAAGATTTTAGAAAAACAAAAGAAAAAGAAAAGAAAAAGAAATATATATCATTTATCATTTAACTAACTAAAGTTACAAAACATTTCTATTCTAAATGATTTTGTATCTTATTAGATTTTATACACCATTTAAATTACAATGTATTAGATTATTTGATGAATTTAATTGTAACACATCATTTTGACTATTATTTCTTGGATAATCTAAATTTAATAAATGTGTACTAGCATCTAATGGAATTTCAGATATTGTTAATTTAGGTTTATCAGGATAATGTTTTGTTTGTTTTCTATTACGACACATTAACATATTTATAATATGTATACGAAAACGTGCACCAAATGCTAAATATAATATCCAATTATTTTGATTACCAAAATAAATTAATGAATTAAAAAATTGTCTTAATATCCATGATATACATAAATCACCAGTTAGTTTTGCTGCTGTACGTCCTTCACTACCTTCACCATCAAATAATTCAAATAATAAAAATAATGGATTAGTTAATAATGTTATAATATTCATTGTAAGTAATAATAATGATGCACGACTTTCACGATTATATCCAATAGAACGATTTCTTTTTTGAATAATTGATGATATACGAGTTAAACGATTACGTTTACGACGTTGATAACGTACTAATGAAGCTATAACAGCTGATGAAATTAACATTGTTATAAATGGTATTACACGAAATACAATCAAATCTAAATTATAAACAAGTTTAGTTAGATCAATACTTTCATGTGTATTTCCAAATAATTCTGTAGAATTTCTTCGTTCACATGATACTAATGCTTCATAATCTATTGAATAATTAGTAATATTATTATTTGTTATCATAAAAATATTTGATGAAGATGGTTTAGATGATACTATTGTTATTAAAATACCAGATAAACATGAAAATGTTATTAATAAACTAATTGTATAACGTGTTACTTTACCAGTAAATATAATTCGTGTTTTTAATGGTGAAATAACTGATGCTAAACGTTCAATAGATAAACCAGTTTGTAATAAATTTGATGTCCATAATAAACAAACAATTGTTATCACACGAATTAAACATGTATAACGTCCAAATATATTACCTAATATAATATGATACATATGAGTAAATATTACTTCAGCATACATATCATTTGCAGCAATTAATAATATAAAAAAATCACTAGCTGTTAATGTGATAAACCATGCACGTGTAGTTGATGCAAATACACGTGGATGTTTTAATAATACTAAAAAGCATAAACCACTAAATATAATACCAATAATATTTGCTATAATCATATACCATGAAAAAAAATACCATATAAATCCATCAGCTACATAACGACTTGTATGATTGAATGGACAAAATTCTGATAACATTATGTAATAGTTTGTGTTGCTTGATTGGTTTTCAATAATCAATAACTAATTAATTCCGTATCAATCAAAAGTAATCCTTCTAATTAATATATATTTAGAAAATGATCTCTCTTTATTTGATGTTTAATATGATTCATGTATATACAAATAAAGTCAAGGGATTGATGTGAACAGATTTTATAAATAAATAAACAAAACTTCCTTTTTTGTCTTTCAAAATAACATTCATCTATTTGTTAACCAACAAAATTCTCTATATAATATTATTTGACCAATTAAAATTGTGGGAAATTTCTTTTTTTTTTTAACTTTTAACTTAATAGTGATTGGTTGTAAGTAGAACATCAAAGATTATGTAAAGAATGAAAAATATTTTTGTAAAAAAAACTTTTTTTTGTTGAAGAAAAAATGATTCATTTCATTCGCTTTGTACTTATATCTTACGATTGTTGTTAAGGACTGTAATGAATCAATCTCTTATTGGTATATGTGCATTCTGTGAGGACTGTCTCCATATTAGGAGGCTGATTAATTGTAGTCCTAAACAATGTCAAATGGGTTAAACTTCAACTCAGTACATAAGCAAATGGCTAACAGAACTTAGTAGGTAAGTGGATAATGCGATAGCGTTTGAAGCGAACGTTATTCGGTTCGAATCCTGAAGTGAATATCAACCCTGCGATGCAGGTACATCGAGCTCACAAGTCAGAAATAGGACAAAACGCTCGTTAAACTAGATACCATTGCTAGCCACTATCCATATTTGCTTATAAATAATTCAGTTATTTTTTTGACTAATTTTTCTTAATAAGTATGTCATTGTAGCTTTGTATAAATAAAATTCAAAGTATCAGAAGACGTTTTGTGAAGACTGTAGTAATTTCAATAGTTGAGATCATGATTCAATTGAAGATAGACCACCATGGAAAACCTGAAAGCGCTGGACGGCCGTTTCGTCCTATTGTGGGACTTTTCAGCAGTGTGCAACCACTATCCCGATTCGCTAGATTCGAACACAAGATCTATCAGTCTCGCGCGCGAGCGCTTAACCACTAGACCACTGAGTCGGCATCCAACGATGTTAATATGACTGCAACTAATCCACGAAATTGAGCGACACATCCATCATTGTCATCAGTGAATCACTGTCTCACAAATGACCCGGATGATCTCCACTGGTCACTGCTTATCAGTAGAACTCCAGGAAATTCTTCTTGAAGCCAGTCACTAGTGAGCAAGTGTTGACAAGTATCAGAAGGGGTTTTGTGAAGGCTGTAGTAATTTCAATTGTTAAGATCCCGCGAACGGGACCGTGGATGTGCACTGCTGAGGAGTCTCACAATAAGACAAAACGACCGTCCAGTCTTTCAGGTTTTCCATGGTAGTCTAGCTTCAACTGACTCACTAACTCAACTATCGAGTTACTATAATATCCACAAAATTCCCCTTCTGATTAATTTATTATTTCGTCTGATTATTTTTTCTTAATAAAGTATGTCAACCTTGCTTTATATAAATAAAATCCAAGGTATATCATGTAGTTTTCTTTTCATGAAGACCTAAAATATAGCTGAACATTTATATTAGTAGGTTATGACATGAAATCAAATTATACCGGTATAGAAGCCTCTAACGTGACTCTATGACTAATGAACAAAAGTAGCCAATACTGTAACGACAACAATTCATTTTCTCATGATGAAATTCAACAAATCATTGATTTGTTGACAAACAATATTCAATTTCTTTACGTTATCAATAGAGTTTTAACGGAACTTATAGAATCTTGAACTTTCAAGGAACAACAAATTAGAATTAATTTTTCACAGGTTGAAATCATGAGTCAATTGAAGCTAGACCACCATGGGAAACCTTAAAGCACTGGACGGCCGTTTCGTCCTAGTATGGGACTCTTCAGCAGTGCTCATCTACGAACCCGCCCCCCGCGAGATTCGAACCCAGGACCTACTGGCCTCGCGTGCGAGCTATTAACCATTAGACCACTGAGCCAGCATCCAACGGTGTTAATGTCTCACTTCAACCAATCCACGAAGTTGCGCCAGCGAACACCATTGTCTTCAGTGAGCTGATATCCCACAAAAGACCTGGTTGAACTCCACTGGTGACGGCTTCTCACAAGAACCTCAGGAGGTTCTTCTGAAGTCAGTCACTAGTGAGCAGTTGATTATTATCAGAATGAGTTTTGTGATAATAATTCATTCAGCGAATCTAGTCCAGTACGTTTTGCACAAACATATGGTTATTTGGATTCAGGAGCTAGGTGTAAAACATTATGGCTTTTTGGAGTGAACGGTAGTCGGCTTGAATCTCGTAATGAACATAAACTCTGTGATCCAGACAAGTTTAGTTGACAAGAACGGAAAATCCGGTCTCAGGATTCTACTGCTAGCCAACATTCATCTTTGCTTAAAAATTGTATAATCAATCATTTGAAGGTCTTTTTAAAATATGTGATTCAGTTAGGATGTAAAATTTAGCATTTTTGGCTTTGTGCCACACTCATTGATTGACAGTCATTTGTTCTTCAGGGCTGCTTAAATAGGGAAAGGTATAGCCTGATTTCTGTGTATAAATCAGTGCTATTAAAAAAAGATCGTTATCATCATTTATTGTCCCCTACATTTTATTATTGTGATCTAAAAATGGAATTATTTGTATAATTTTTCTAGTACACAAATGTACAAGTCAGATTTTTTTAATTATTTCTGAAGAAACTGCCTTGTTTTCACTGACTTCCACTCGGAAATTATGATGTTCATATTTAAACTAGAAACAATAAGATTATTGCGGATTTAGTTTATATAAAGTAAAAATAACGTGCAAATTAGCGCAAATATTTAAATATAATCAACAATCACAACAGAGATATAGAAAATATATTTTGTTAAACCTATGAAACCATATGTTAATATATTTATAGTTGACATTACATATGTTATTGTTTTTATCGACTTAATATGAACTGTATTATCATGTGCATTGGTGTTTATACTGATCGAAGCTATTTTCGTTTCTAAAAAACCTGATCTATTTGTCATATCTGTAACAATGCGTTTCATTTCATTTTTGTATTCATTGTTTGAATCTTCTCGTTGATGTTTAAGTTAACTGATCGGTTTCATATTGATACATGTGCTTCCTATGTGGATTGCCTCGATATTGCTTTAAGTCACAAGCAGGTACATTCATTTGACGAGTCCAAAGTAAGACGAAAAGTGGGTTATGGATTCCACTACTAGATACTATTAATTTATGCTTATAATGCTCGTGACTTAAAGCAATATCGAGGCAATTCACATAGGATGGATATATGCCAATGAGAGACTGAATAATTGCAGTCCGAAAAATCATTGGGAAGATTCAAATAATCATTTCAAAAAAATGAACTAAAACTTAACCTTGATGCACAAAGTAGTAGGCATCTGAACTCAGTAAGTAAGCCAATAACTTGATGGCATTTGAAACAAAGAGTACTGGATTGGAGTGCTCGATTGAACATCAATTATCGGATGCAGGTTTATTCATCTGACGAGTCCCAAATAGGACGAAACGTGGGTCATGGATTCCACTGCTAGCCACTATCCATCGTTGTTTATAATTTGATATAGATTTTACTAAATAGCCACAAATCTATAACATTAGTGTTGTTCACTACTGATCAACTAATTAAAATACAATCAATAAAAATGTCAATCACAATTTCTTAATAAACAAAATCTTAAGAACTTGTAATCATCTATTCAATTTTGTGTGTGCGCTTTCGTTATTTACAGCAAAACTATAAAAACTAATTACTTTTATTTTATACACTGTCAGTTTTTACTTCTTCTCATTTGTTTAAATCACATAACTGTACTTCACAGATAATGTGATTTTGACAGAGGATATGGGAGATTAAATTATTTACGAACAATCGACTGACATAATTATTTTTCAGGTTACTATATGTTACATTAATTTTACAAAATAGTAGATGTTTTTACACTAATCAAAATAAATGTTGGATCACAAATTAGTAATAATATAATTATATATTACCCTAATCAAAATATTTCGTGTTTTTAGAATAGGGGTTTTTGGAGATTGTAGTAATTTGAATGGTTGAAGTCCCACGTGCGAGATCGTGGATGCGCACTGCTGAAAAGTCCTATGCTAGAACGTAACCGCCGTCCAGAGCTTCCACGTTTCCAATGGTTATCTATATTAGATCGACTCATAAATTCAACTTTTAAAATATTTCGTATTTAACAAGTTTCCGTTACAAAACGTGACTCTACACTTTGTGTTACCTAAAACCTGATACGGACTTTGCAAATCTACTTAAATGCTACAGAGTCACAAAGAATTTAATCTCGCAACAATAGATACTTGTTAACCGAATAATATTATTTTAATTCCCTCTTATTCTATGGACAGAACAGTTTAATTACAAAGTTTTCTAATACACTGTCAACAACGTCAGAAGCGCGTTTTGATTATTTCATAAAATTTAAATTAGTCTATCATCATGATCGTAAGTCTTAACTCTAAACCATAAACAAAACATGAAACAAAGTCACTAAAATCTGTAATAAAATTAGATTTTGGTTGTCACCTCAATCCATGACTTTCATTTCATCCTATTTAAAACAAATCAGCCGGATACCCTCATGAAATTTGGCTTCTATCTTCACACTGAAACTTAAATCAAGTACTTATCTCTTTGAAAATCAAAGCGTTACCCATTCATTTTGTGTGTCAAGGCAGCCTCTACATCCTTTAACGGATATGAACTTATATATAAAAACATAAGCTTTTGAATATTGTTACTATTGATGGTAAGAACTGCATCTGTTCAGTTCCCATTTCCATACTTTTACCTTTAGCTGACAGTGGGTATCTGAACCCAGTAGTTCGGTAAATAATAAATTGGCCTACCAAAGAATATGTACTTGGTTTATTTTCCAGTGTGAATATTGATACTTGAATGCAAGTATACTCAGCTGTCGAGGACCGAATAGCACGAAATGGTTTTAGTAAATGTCAGTACAAACCTTTATGCACCTTCACTCGAACGTACAACTAGAGACATCATCGGGATATTACGCTTATGATGTACATATACCATTAGAGTTTAATTAAATATAGTCTTCAGTATTAAGAACAGGAAAGCTCAACCGCTTGCATATTTATATAATTATTTGTAGATATATAGCTTAACTTTATGTTCTAAAACAAAACTTAGCAATAACAAATCTTCGAATTTCTGAGGTGTTTATTATGCCCAAAATTATGCAACTGAAATAATTAGTCATGTGTATGAAACAAAATTATCAGGAGCCGGATACATTATTTTCACATCTGATCAAATCAATAATGATATATAACAATGGATGCTCAAAACATTCATAAAATACATATTATTTCCTTTTATAAGCCATGAATTTAGTTCAGTACAATAATTATATGGTGTTTTGATTATATCATCCAACTGTATAATACTTTTAGTGATGAAAATTAATTGATTGATCTCCATGAAATTTAAAGTTGTTATGGTATGTAAATAATAACTTAAATCAAACCTAATATGTATGGAATTAGAGACTGATCAGTTGTTAATGGTACAGAATGTTTTTTTCATAATGTAAAACCCAAATAATCAATAACAACTATTCATTATATTATATTTCAAACATTTGCTGGAAAAAAAGTTGAATAGTTGGAAAGTAATTTTCCTTTTTTCAAATAAGATCATTAGACTATAATGTTCTTTGATAATAGTAATAGAATAAACACTACAGATCTCATAAATGAAGTCACATTGATAACCTGTTGATTATTGTTAATAGTTAGCTGTTAATCAAAGAGCACATCAAAATGTTAGTTTCACAAAATAAGAAATGTGACTATCTATTTCATTTAGCACATATAAATATGAACATTGTAAATAATTTACATCAGGAACTATTGTCAGTCAGTGAAATTGTTGATTGGTACAATTTTGATATTACGATCTGATAACCACCTAAAATCAAAAGACAGCTTTCTAACTTTCAATGATTCCTTATTCCATGCTTATCTGTGATGACGACTAACCGAGAAATGAACAATCGCCAAAATCTTTTGATTTGTTAGCCAACTGATTTTTTTTCAATTATCCTAAGTTTGTTAATAATCATGTAGGTTTAACTGATGTAAGAATATACAACTTTTAAAGTTCAAGCAATCACTAGTATCAGAAGGCGTTTTGTGGATATTTTGTAGTTTTAATAGTTGAGATCATCAGTCAATTGAAGCTAGATCACCATGGAAAATCCAAAAGCACAATAGGAGGAAACGGCCATCTAGTGTGTTTAGGTTTTCCATGGTGGTCTAGCTTCAATTGACTCATGATCTTAACTAATAAAGTTACTAGTATAATTATAAATCAATTATAAATCTTGGAACATTGATTTCGGTTTTATTATTAATTTCAATTTGATCAAGAACCATTCACTTGCGTAACTCTCCTACTATTTAGTTTAATGTCACTTTCTTTATTATTTTAGACTCAAACGTTGAGAAAATATGATTCGATTTTCATCAAATGGTTTGATGAGGTTATATTTCACTCATCAAATATAAGTTATCAAATTCAGAATTGGTTTACTACTGAGAAGACTATCTTGAGTCAACCAATCAAACTGAATCATGCAAAACATCTATGGAAATCAAAAAATGAGCAACCATTATTAAGTGGATTCTATATTGAGTGGAAAACAAATGTTATTTCTTATATGAATTCCTATATGAATAGTGTGTACAGTTTGAATCCATATCAGTTTTCATTATTCATAAATCACAAGTAAGACCACATTCTCACATTAACTTTGTTAGTTGTATACCTTTCTTCTCACAGACGTTTCATAAGGTTTGTTCAAACTAAGTTCATGTCCTTCGCAATTAATGTAATGGAGAACAAACCCAACTTTACCAGTTTATATGATCTTACTTACTTACTTACTTACTTACGCCTGTTACTCCCAATGGAGCACAAGCCGCTGACCAGCATTCTCCAACCCACTCTGTCCTGAGCCTTCCTTTCTAGTTCCATCCAATTCTTGTTCATTTTTCTCATGTCTATTTTCATTTCCCGGCGTAATGTGTTCTTTAGTCTTCCTCTTTTTCTTTGACCTTCAGGATTCCATGTGAGGGCTTGTCTTGTGACACAGTTCGGTGCTTTCCTCAATGTGTGTCCTATCCACTTCCAGCGCTTCTTCCAGATTTCTTACTCCGCTGGGATCTGGTTTGTTCTCTCTCACAGTACGTTGTTGCTAATAGTGTCCGGCCAATGGATCTGAAGTATTTTGCGTAGACAATTGTTGATAAACACCTGTATTTTCTGGATGATGGCTTTCGTAGTTCTCCAGGTTTCTGCCCCATACAGTAGAACTGTCTTGACATTTGTATTGAAAATCCTGACCTTTGTGTTGGTTGATAGTTGTTTTGAGTTCCAGATGTTCCTCAGTTGTAAATATACTGCTCTTGCTTCGCGGATCCGCGCCTTCACATCTGCATCAGATCCATCCTGTTCATCAGTGATGCTGCATAGATGTGTAAAGGTTTTTACATCTTCCAAATCTTCTCCTTTAATTGTGACTGGATTGGTGCATGCTGTGTTGTATCGGAGGATTTTGCTTTTCCCTTTGTGTATATTGAGACCTACTGCTGCTGAGGCTGCTGCTACACTGCCATCTTCTCCTGAATTTGTTGTTGCGTGTGCGATAGAAAGGCCAGATCATCTTCGAAGTCTAGATCGTCTAACTGTCTTCATGATCCAGTCGATCACCAGGAGAAAGAGAAAGGGTGAGAGTAAGCAACCTTGCCTAACACCGGTCTTCACTTCGAACGACTTTGTCAACTGTCCTCCATGCACGATTTTGCAGTGTAATCCATCATATGAGTTCTGTATGATATTGACTATCTTCTGAGGCACGCCGTAGTGTCGAAGAAGTTTCCATAGTGTTGTTCTGTCCACGCTATCAAATGCCTTTTCGTAGTCAATGAAGTTGATGTAGAGTGATGAATTCCATTCAATTGATTGTTCCACAATGATCCGTAGAGTTGCGATTTGGTCTGTACACGATCTATCCTTACGGAATCCTGCCTGTTGGTCACGAAGTTGGGCGTCTACGCAGTCCTTCATCCTGTTTAACAATACCCTGTTGAAGACTTTTCCCGGTATTGAGAGAAGAGTGATGCCCCTGTAGTTATCACACTTGCTGAGATCGCCTTTCTTCGGTATTTTGATCAGAAGTCCTTCTTTCCAGTCTGTTGGTACTTGTTCCTCATCCCAAATCTTATTGAAGAGAATGTGGAGTATCCTTGCAGTTGCCGCTACGTCTGCTTTTAGTGCCTCTGCTGGAATGTTGTCCGGTCCTGCTGCTTTGCCACTCTTGATTTGTCTGATGGCCATGCTGATTTCTTCAATTGTTGGTGGGCCAACATTGATTGGGAGGTCCGTGGGTGCTGCTTCGATGTTGGGTGGGTTCAGTGGAGCTGGTCGATTCAAGAGTTCTTTGAAGTGTTCTACCCACCTGTTTTGTTGCTCTTCAATGTTGGTGATTACCTCGCCTTCCTTGCTTTTCACTGGTCGTTCTGGTTTGCGGCGATTTCCAGAGAGTTTCTTTGTCGTGTCATACAATTGTCTCATGTTTCCTTCTCTTGCAGCCTTTTCCGCCGTCGTTGCTAAATCTTCCACATATTTACGTTTGTCGGTTCTGATGCTCCTCTTCACTTGTTTGTTTATTTCTGTGTATTCAGCTTGTGCCTTGGCTTTTTCTGCTCTTGTTCGGCTGGTATTGATTGCTGCCTTCTTGTTCCTTCTTTCTTGAATCTTATCCAGTGTATCAACAGTGATCCATTCCTTGTGATGGTGCTTCTTGTGACCCAGGACCTCATGACATGTTGAAGTGATTGCCTCTTTGATCCCCTTCCAGTTGCTCTCCACAGTAGTTCCTTCTCCATTGAGTAGATCATGAAAGGCCTGGAACTTGTTGCTGAGGACTATCTTGAATTTGTTGAGTTTGTTAGTATCCTGAAGAACTTTTGTGATATTGTCCGCCCCGTTGTCCAGTGCTTCTTGAGTTTCAATTTCATCTTGGCGACCAGCAAGTGATGATCTGATGCTATATCAGCTCCTCTCTTGGTTCTCACGTCCTCTATAGTCCTCCTGAACGTTTTGTTGATGCAAATATGGTCGATTTGGTTTTGTGTAGAGTGATCCGGTGAAGTCCATGTGGTTTTGTGTATGCGTTTATGTGGGAATATGGTGCCGCCTATGACCAGCTTATTGAAGGCACATAGATTTGCAAATCTCTCACCATTTTCGTTTCTTTCTCCCAGTCCGTGTCGTCCCATGATGTCTTCATATCCAGTGTTGTCCGTTCCAACCTTGGCGTTGAAATCTCCCATCAGAATGGTCAGGTCCTTTGTTGGGCACTTCTCGACGATTGACTGCAGCCTATTGTAGAATTGATCTTTAGCGTCTTCATTGTAGTCGTTGGTAGGCGCATAGCATTGGATGATGTTCATTGAAATGCCCTCTTTCTTTGTTTTGAACGAGGCTTTGATGATCCTTGGTCCATGAGATTCCCATCCTATAAGTGCATTTTGCGCTTGTTTGGACAGCATCAATGCAACTCCTTGTGTATGTGGTGCATTTTCTTCTTCATGGCCGGAGTATAACAGGAGCTCTCCTGTAGTTAGTCGTTGTTGTCCAACTTGTGTCCAATGTGTTTCACTGATCCCAAGTACCTCTAGGTTGTATCTTCTCATTTCTGCAGCAATTTGGAAGGCTCTTCCGGTGTCCCACATTGTACGAACATTCCATGTACCTAAATAAATGGTCGCTCTGGTTGTCAGAAGGGGCATCGGCCTCGTAACTTCCGAAGGAATTCGGCTTTCATCATGAGGCGTCATAATTCTTCTAAATGAAGACCTTCTGACTCCCAGGGCAGAGTTTAAAAGGTTTGAATAATTTTTTCTGGTTAGCGTTTTTTTAGCGAGTTAGTTTTCTACGGGATGGGGACGCTAACCCCATGCCCAACCCTCCTCCTTTATCCGGGCTTGGGACCGGCAGTAGCCCCCGGAGGGACTCCAGGCGTAGTTATATGATCTTAGCGTTGCATAAATTCAGTCGTTTTGATCAAGCATGTATAGTATAACAAGAGAGGTACCTGTGCTTGTTTAGATTTCCCTATATCTTCGGAAAACACTATTACTTTGAAACACTACCGTGCAAATAGTTCTTGTATAGATCTTGTATAGATAAATTTTGATGACTATTTTCATCACATATTCTAACTAAGTATTTTGAGAAATTGATATGTCAAGCTTAGAGCGCTTAATAAATCATTAATTCCTTTCAAAACATCCTTTGAATATAAATGGAGAAACGCCGACTAGACACGGCGAAACTATAATTTATGGACGGACCAATCAGATTTACGATAACAAGTCTTAGATTTTGGAGCGAAATTCATTCACTCATTTGGCTAAATAGAGTTTTGGTATTATAGCTGATATCATTTCGTGATGAAAACTTTAAATCTAATTCCTAACCCTAACCATCAGCTGTAAATCATAATCCTTATTCTTCAAACTTTTTTATAACTTCTTTATAAGTAGGTAAGCACTCTCAAGGTCACTTAAGCGTCGCCCAATGTCGCCCATAAATTCTAGTCTCACTCTAGACACTAACAAACACAATACAATATTTCAGTATTATGACCAAGTAAATACATTAATAATTGTTACATAATAAAACAAAACAGAAGTATTGAACATTGTAGTATATTTTACTAAATATAACATTTTACGTAATATATAAATGAATTATGGGATTTCCTTAATACAAAGTAGCATACAAATAGGTTTATAAAATACAAATTAGTCAACTGTATCTAGATTACTTTAAATCTAACAATCTTGGCATAAAAAGAACTCGATATCATTAATTAAATGTGTTGAAACTTATTATTGTATAGATTATCCTATTCTACTGGAGATTTCCTAATTATCGGAGATTGAAACTTTGGGAAGCTATTTGTTAAGTATAAAGATTGTAAAACAGAATGTCGAATTATAGTAATCAGATACCTGAAAATTTTCTCATGAAATTATTTTTTACAAGTGAGACAATTACGAGAATTTTTCTCAAACATGAAGAATGGATTTTAAGAACATTAGACCAATTATATTTTCAGAAATAGGGTCTCGCAGAGATTCTGGTAATTTAATAGTTAAATTCATGAGTCAAATATAGCTAGATCACCATGGAAAACCTGGGAACACTGGATGGCCATTTAGTCTCAGTATGGGGCTCCTCAGCAGTTCTCATTCACGATCCTGCCCCGCAGGATTCGAACCCGGGACCTGTCGATCTAGCTTGCGATTGCTCAACCTCTCGACCACTGAACAGGCATCCACTGGTGTTAATGTCTAACTTCGATAAGCATCCACGATCCCGCATACGAGACTCAAACCCAGGACCTTCGGTCTGGCATGTGAACGCATGTGAAATGTATCAGAATTCAATTTGTATACCGTAATGGTAATATTTAGGAAATTTTTATCTGATATTTCAGTAGGCAAGAACGGAACATAAGTGGTTAGAATTATTTAATGCAAGTCACCAACCTGATAATGTTATTAGTATACAACTTAGATCTATATGTTATTTATCAAATGCTTATGCATAAAGGTCTCTAAAATCTCTCTGCCTTTCTTTGCGTTTCCTCTGTTCAATATTTCGACGATTTCTTATATGACAGCTAACTGGTGTTTATGTAGACGTAGTATAAGAGGCGAGCCATTTTTTCGTATTCAGTATTTGTCACAGTTGTTACAGTTCATCTCCTAGATCATCTCTGGTTTGTTTTTGTTTTTCGTCGTCCTATTCGGTTTTACATAATATTGTTCACAACGACTTTGATGGCTGATGGGCTACATTTATTCCTAGTGGTCTTATTAATCCGTTGGTGATCTGGAACATGTTTTTCATGTTGGGTGGAACTAATAATTTGTCGATCTCTACTGTTGATTTTATATCTAATCATCCGTTGAATAAGCATTTTTTGATGAAATTTTGCGGGTAACCATTTTTGGGAGCTTTATTCATTGCGTATTTTCTATCATTTCTTTTTGCCACAGTAATGCAGCAATGCGTTTTTACTTTTGAATCTATATGGCTTACTTTGTGAGCCACCGGGTTTTAATGTAATAATTGAGAATTTGATCAGAGTAGGTTGGTATCAGATTAACTTGAGTCTCCGCATTTTCTCTTCTGGTTCTGGTGATTGGTTTGTGAAAAAAATGATAATTTAGTGTCTGAATCTACTTCTTGTAGTGTCCATTGCTATGTCAAGCTCACATAACCTATTCTAGCTTTTGAGCTTGGTAATTATTCGTTTATCAACCCTGACTGATTTTTATGTGTGTGCATTTCTCACCTTACTCATCCCATGTCTGTAAATTATTTTTGTGTGACTATAAATAATGATTCACGCTTGGCTAAATTAAGTTGGCTTACTTGCCCTCTCCATCGCGCGTGATGTCGCTTCGCTTTCTTTTCTTCACTTCATATGCTTTGTTCCTCTGATTGTGTGCCCAGATCACTGAGTGTATAAAATATGTGTATTCCAAAGTCTATTGTAGTATTTGACTTATTTAATTGCGTTAAGTCTATAATTTAATACGAGGATTTATTATATGTATATTTCAATAACAATCATTTTTACGATTCAGAGTCAGATTAAGAGCCACTAAAATCTAATGCAAATTTTATATCACCAAAAATACTTTATCAAGTTTTGAGTGTTTTCCAACTGATTGTTGTTGTTGTTGTTGTTGTTGTTGTTGTTGATAATGATGATGATGATGATGATGATGATGATGATGATGATGATGATGATGATGATGATGATGATGATGATGATGATGATGATGATGATGATGATGATGATGATGATGATGATGATGATGATGATGATGATGATGATGATGATGATGATGATGTTGCCTACATAAAGTGTCCTTCGACTGAATCATGAAGACGTCAACATCTGAAGGGAAGCACGGGATACAGTGGACAGCTAGGATGCAGTTAGACGACCTAGACTTCGCAAATGATCTGGCCCTCCTATCACAAACTCAACAACAAATGTAGAAAAAGACAACCAGTGTAGCAGCAGCCTCAGCAGCAGTAGGTCTCAATATACACAAAGGGAAAAGCAAAATCCTCCGATACAACACAGCATGCACCAATCGAATCACATTTGATTGAAAAGATTTGGAAGATGTAAAAAGCTTTACAAATCTGGGCATCATCATTGATGAATACGGTGGATCTGATGCAGATGTGAAGGCGTGGATCAGCAATTGCAGTTGTAGAACATCTGGAACTCAAAACAACTGTCAACCAACACCAAAGTGAGAATTTTCAATACAAGTGTCAAAACAGTCCTACTATATGGGGCGGAAACTTCGAAAACTACGAAAGCAATCATTCAGAAGTTACAAGTGTTTATTAACAGCTGTCTACGCAAAATACTTCGGATCTGTTGGCCAGAAATTATCAGCAACAACCTACTGTGGGAGAGAACAAGCCAGATCCCAGCGGAGGAAGAAATCTGGAAGAAGCGCTGGAAGTGGATAGGACACACATTGAGGAAAGCACCGAACTGCGTCACAAGGCAAGCCCTCACATGGAATCCTCAAGGCCAAAGAGGAGGAAGAAGATCAACGTACACATTACGCCGAGAAACGGATACATATATGAGAAGAATGAATAACAATTGAATCGAACTAGAATAAAGGCCGGGGACAGAGTGGGTTGGAGAATGCTGGTTGGCGGCCTATGCTTCACTGAGAGTAACAGGCGTAAACAAGTAAATAAGTAAGTACATGAAGGAACCTAATCTTTAGTTTAATCATCGTATTTAGAAAGTATACAATTATACATAGCATCATTTAGTGAACAGGAAGGTGTAAGTATTTAATTAGTAATATAATTCTTTACCTGTGTCACACTTCCAAATTCAATCATATTTAATATCTAAGATTATTCTGTTTATAAATGAAAGATTTATTCATTTATTATCAATTTAATAAACAAAACAAAACATTTAAACCTAAGAGTAAATAGCCTGTACTTTAAAAATTTTTATGTATTCCTAAATGAATGTAATATCCTTTTCAATACGTAGTTGATGTTATTTAACTTCAGTTATTTTTCACAATTCTATAAAATACATGTAATTAAAGAAAGAAAAAAATGTAATTTTTCACATAAAATACCATCATCAATATTAAAACTGTTATTTAACTGATTACATTATGCGGTGAGACTATAATTTATGGACGCTAGACCGACCTTAAGAGTGTCCACCTAACAACCAAGATCAAATAAGGGTTATAAACCTGTTTAAGAGATTAGAATTATGACTAACAGTTGATGATTAAGGTTAGAAATTAGATTTAAAGTTTTCATCACGAACTCATATCAGCTATAATGCTAAAACTCCATTTATCCAAATGGATGAGTGAATTTCACGCCAATATCCGAGATCTGTTATCTTATACCTGATTAATTCGTCCATAAATTATAGTCTCGACCAATCGGCATATCAACAAATTCATTAAAGACAAAATTTAATAACTGAAAATAATTTTAAAAAAACTGTACACTTTATTAAATTTAATTGTCAAGTACTAATTATTATGGTTTATAGTGTTTGTTACCACGTGGTTATTGTGAAATGTTCAATACACAGGTGAATAATAAAATATATTTTTTATCATTTTATTCATTTATTTAATTATAATCAATTAAAATGTTTATCATATTCTCGAGGCTTAAATACCTTACAGTTTCTATTTAATATTAATAAAATTAGTTCATCAATACACCTAATGTATATTTATATTTGTATCCTGTTACATTTCAAGGCCTACTGTAAATATTCTATGCTTAATAAAATTAAAACATTGATAACAAGTATATTTGGTCGAATGTACATAACGTGTTTAATTACTAAGTGAAACAGTGAAAAATATCGAATGTAATTGGACAACAATTATGTTGAAGGCAACATAGTAAAATAGGTTACTCAAATATTGAAAGAAAAACAAAAGCAACAAAGATAAACACATTCAATGATAAAACATTTAATTCATATGATATACTAGTCTGTTACAAGCATGTCTCTGGAACATGATTAATGATGCTTGATATAAGTTTATAAGCATAGATGGATAGTGGCTACCTGTGGAATTGATGGCGCATATTTCGTCCTATTTGTGACTCGTCAGATTAATATTCCTGAATATACGAGTTGATGTTCACTCTGCCACTCTAAATCAGTACCATTTGCTTCAAATATCATCACGTTGTCTACTTATTCACTGAGTCTTTTCAACCACTAGCTCGTGCATCAGTGTGAAGTTTAATTCACATTGTACTGGTTGCTTCAATCTTGTCATTGACGTTTAGGGATTTAACTGATTAGTCTCTTATTCGTATATGTGCATTCTTTTCGGATCGCCTCAATATTGCCTTATATTATAAGCATCCATCTATGGTTATATTGCTTTTGACTTAAGGCAATATCGAGGCAATCAACACAAGATGTATATATCTCAATAAAGAAGCAATCAAATGCATTCCTAATCGTCACTGAAAAATTCGAACAGTCAATACGAAACGAATTATCAGTATAGGGTTGTGGAGATTGAGACCATGAACCGACTGATTTAAGATCACCACTGAAAACCCAGAGGCACTGAAAGGCTATTTCGTCCTATTGTGAAGCTCCACAGCAGTGCACGTCCATGATCCCGCTAGCGGTATTATTAACATCAATTAATATAGATGCTAGATATGAAATGTAATAAACAATCTAGTCAATCAAAAACATAATAATATCTACAATCTCATACTGATAATTATCATGTGCTCACTAATATCTAGCTTCGTAAGGAAATTCTCGGAGTTCTAATGAGAAGCCGTGAATTGTGGAGCTAATCAGTGTCGGGTAGAGACACGTGTCTACCTCAGAACAATGAAAGATGGTCACATAACTTCGTGGATTGTTTACGGTTAGACATCAACACCATTGGATGCCGACTCAGTGGTCTAGAGTTTAAGCATTTGCGTGCGACACTGAAGACCTTGGGTTCGAGTCATGAGAGCAGGATCGTGGATGCGCACTGCTGAGGAGTCTCACACCAGGACGAAACAGTCATGCAGTACTTCTAGGTTTTCAATGATGGTCTGACATCAATCGATTCATGATCTAACTATTAATATTTTTATTCTAAATCACCGCTGTTATTAATGAAGAAAAGTCAACTTATAATTTGATTTGTTTTCAAATGTATCATTTGATAAACTAGTTTTTATGAAGACAAATTCATTTACTTTACAACTTACTGGTTAAAATTGGAAAAATTTACTTTAGAAATTCATTCTAAATATAGAATAATGTATCTTAGCAACATTTATTTATTTGATATACATACGTTTATCATTTTATAGATCAAAATTTTATACTTCTCAAACAGTACAACTTATGAGTGGATCCTATGAAATTTTTGGTTATCAATCGGATAAACAAATTGATTGGAATTTTCATTTAAATAATAGTTTTAAACTTGCCACTGTTTCTAATTTGTCAATGGAAATGTTATTTGATCCATGGAGTTATAATTATGAATTATTTAAATACATGTAAGTTTATAATTAAATAATTCACTACTGTTTTATCAGAAATATGATTATCCGCATTGCACGATATGGATTTTATCAGTTACCATATATCGGACTAATGAATATTCTTGTGGATCTTTACTAATTGAGGTGTTTGCAAAATGTTCCATACTTCCTTAACATATAATATTAACTTGCATAGAACTAGGTCGTAAGAATGCTGAGAGTGGTTAATTTAAGATTGTAGTATCGGTTATTATGTTAAGCCTATACACTTTATACTAGCTTTCAGACAGGTCGATCTATTCATTCTACTTGAGTCATATTTTGACCCTGTTAATTATTCGCTTATCATTCTTGACTGTTTTTATATTAGCCGTATATGTATGTACATATTATCGTACTTACCGCATGTTTGTGACTATAAACGTTGATTAACGCTTGACTAAATACAGTTGGCCCACATGCCTTCTCCACTGTGCGTCTTTTCGCTCTCTCTTCTTCCTTTCCTTCGCTACGTCTCTCCGATTATCTGTTCCGATCAACGATTGTATAAAATATATGTATTGGGAAATCTATTCCCGTATTTGACTTATTTAACTCCGTTATTCAATAATGTAGATTAAGTCGATAATTATACACCAGGAACGACCACATGTATATATTCAATAGTAGTCAGAAATGATCAAACTGGACTCAGATACATGTGCCACTAAATGACAACATATTAGATATTTATTGTTTACTTGACTTGTGTCAAAAAGTTAAGTCTTTCTATTTTGTACCACAATTGAATATCTCATTGAATAAGCAACTGGTAAATATTGCTTTTTATAACGTAAACAACAACAAAGCAGAAATTACACTTTCTATGAATCTTCCTTTTACTATAGTTTCTATTTAATGAAATAAAAACAGATATGATGTATAATACACTTCAACATTAGGATATTTATTTTCTAAAATGCAATCAAGTAAATCCATAATAATTAGACATGCATATAGAAGAAAGTATCCTTTTTCAATGTTCCCATCTTAAATATTACCACTTTTTTTTCAATATTCAAATACATTTTGTAGAAAAACTGATTTTTTCATGAAAAATGGTAAACCATATATCAATTCTCAATCATCAATATTAAATCATTCAATAGAAACAACACTTCATCCTTTTAATTGGTTACATTTAAATATTGAAAGATTATGTAATTCTGAAGACAAATACTTATCTATCCAATGGTTTCAAATCAACATAATTGAAATTAAAGGATTTTTATTACAATTTAATTATTTATCTACTAGTCATGAAGAAACAAAAAACAATCTAACTAACATTAATCATTTTTTTATTCATCGATTAAATGTATCTATGCAACAGAATCATAATTTACAAAATAATATTTTCCAATTCAATATTAAGATAAAATATCAGAATAATAATTTACAATATGTTGATTTAAATTGTTTAGTATTTCAGAAAGATTCATATCATTTACAAAGTAAGTTTGCACAATTTTATTTGTATAAATTTACTCCTCCACCACCACCACCACTCCCCCACACTTTTCTACATTTGTGATTAAAAATGAATGAACAATTATTAGTGAATTAATTGTTTGAGTATTAAAGTGTTAACAAGGTATAAGTATCATCTAAGATAGATTATAAAATATTCAAATAATGAGATGGTGGTAGTGGTGGTGCAAATAAACACTACAAAGTGGATGCCTTCTTCATCTTCGCCTAAACAAACATCAATTAATAGTTGAGCGCTTTGATATATCCTCGTTTATATCGATGCATTTAGATCAACTACAGACACACATTCGACTGGGAAAATGTTGTGAGTTAGTATAGAAGCTTGACACCTAAGTCAATCAACAAAAACACATTGAAATCGATCAAAACTATCAACCAATCAGAAAAATGATGGACAAGTATAGAACCAGAAATCGAATCAATGTGAGATACAATTAAAATGAAGAAGTAGACAATGATAAGTTAAAGTTCAACAATAACCAATCAACATAAATGTCTACAGGACAAGCTGTGAGTTATATGTGGAGGAATTCGAACATTTCACTTGTACTTGAAGTTCGTGATGTTGATGTTGTTCAGAAGAACGATGAAAGTTCCACGACTAAACCATCCAGCACAGAGAACAATATCTCACCAGAAAGTCGACCAACGAATTAAAAAAATAAACAAAAATAATCGTTAAAAATTTCGTATTATATTAAAAAATATGTAAACGTAGAATAATCCTTTCAATAAGCTCTGTTCAGATTTTACAACTAGATATATACATATTCAAATTAATCTTCAGAAAACTGATCAGGTTTAAGGCAAAATATATTGTTTAAAAACTACAGCACGTGGGTTTAAAAATACAAGGTACGATTAACATGAAGTGAGATCGCATAGCATAAATCACGTAATACGTAGAATAATGTGAATTAAGGACGAATTAGTAAATAGGGGTGGAAGCTGAGTGAATTTATCAAAGCGTTTGCAAATGTTATGATTATAATAATAGTGACGATAACAATAATGATAGAATGTGCGATCAAGATAAGTTTGTGCAATGAAAATACAAAGAGGAAGATTGTATTATAGATAATCGAATCACATCACCATATCATCAGAAGTCGGCCGAGGTAAAAAAGAGAGGTTAGATATGTTGATTTGTTGACGCAAAGCTTCACTTTTTCTTGCCCGAATAGCTATTACTTCAACTGTCTGAAGGATTATTAATCAGACGGATTTCGGCAGATTACTGTTAACATTATATATTATTGTAAATGACTGCTCCATGTTGCCTGTATACTCTGTTTGTACTAGATGAGCTAAAAATCGAGCTGCTGTCAGTTTTAACTATATCTTTGCTTAACCACACTATGAGATTAAACAAAGGTATAGTTAACTTTTGGTTATTTGGATAGAATTCTGAAGTTTGTGCTGATGATGTTGTTCAGAAGAACGATGAAAGCTCCATGACCAAACCATCCAGCTCAAAGAACGAAACTCCATCAAAAATAACTAAATACACTAATTATAATTACAAGTTAAACTGTTGATAGTTAAAAAAAATCAATAATAATGAAAATTATTGAAAAACGAAATGTTTGTTTTTTCTCTCTCAGAAAATATCACATTACAATTTTTATATTTAAAAGAAACCCCTCTTTAATTAAAACATAACTTTAATTCAATCATACAGTGTGAAAATAGACAAATTCATTATGAATATTATTATATAACATTTTGTTTGTTAGTTCAGCAACAAAACTGTATTGTTACTAACGGCTTTGTATGATATGTAAGTACAATAAAGAGATGATATCCCACGACTGATCATTGACTAAATATGGATCCATAAGTGTTCAATGTCAATTACAGTAAACGAACTCAGTTTAAATGAGACTGCATTTTTAATTAGAAAGCTAAATGTCTGAAAAATAATAATAATACTAATCAGAATAAATTCCTTTCTACAAGAATAGAAAATTAAATGAGATAAAAAGTAACTGGAAAACAAAAAAAAATAAGAAAATGAGACAAGTACACCACATTATCCAGGATATGACGAAAAAATCTTTTTGATATTCGATATAAATAAATATTTCTGGAACAAAATATGTTTAAGAGTGTCAAATGGTTCCATCATAAATGAGAAAATGTTTGATAAAAACGAGAACGATAGATCCTGGGTTCGAATCTTGCATGACGGGATCATGGATGCTCACTGCTGAGGAAAACACCAATAGGTCGTTCAGTGCCTCCAGGTTTTCGATACTGATCTAGCTTCAATTGACTCTTGAATTCAACTATAAAATTAAATGAATTCTACAAACTTTTCATGTTTATGATGCACAAATTTGCTAAAATGTTATAATTTTATTTTTGGCATAATTTAAGTTACACTTGTTACTACACATGGAGAAGCATAGAATGCTCACTAGCATTCTCTGTCTAACTCTGTTCTGATCAATCCTTTCCAGTTTCTATTCATCCTATTCATGTCTGCTTTCAGTTCTCGGAGCAGCGTGTTCTTTGGCCCTCTTTTTTCGTTTACCTTCAGGATTCCAAATTAGCATTTATCTCATGATGCAGTCTGAGGATTTCTTAAATATGTATCCTATTCATTTCCAACGTCTTTTCTTAATTTCCCCCCCCCCATCCAGAAGCTAAATATCAGTTAGTCTAAAGATTCAGTGAATAACTCTTAAAACATATATATTAAGATCACCATTCCTACAATTATTGAAAAGTACTGCAATATTTTGTTACAAAATGTTGCAAGAAAATTTATTATTTATGCTTCAATTTAATCTCTGAGTTGTGCCTTACTTAAAATAAGCATAAAAAGTATAATTTAGCTTTGGTTTTCAAAAAACCTACATCGTCAATTGTTATGTACGTGTTGCTTATCACCTATACCTGAAAAATGAGTTACTACTGCGGTGAACAAGAACACAAGTGGGGACAACTGAATGCATTTATTTTGAAATTACAGAGCATCTCAATGAAATCTGAGAACCATGTAGTAAATACTTCATTTGCAAAATATCAATCCATAGTCTCAAACTGTACTGTTTCTTTTGCAAATAACAATCTTTTGTCTCAGATTTCATTATTCATGCGTTTTCGTACTAATGGCTTTCCGTTTTCGTTCTTTCCTTATCGATCTTCCACTGAAATACATCCTATGCTACTCATATGGATATAAGTAACCCACACCACACTACTACAATTCCGAAAACACAAAGACCCTTATTAAAAATTCACTTATTTTTATATTGCTTTCTGATTTCTTCATTAACAATTAGGATAAAATCGCATATATAAAAAGTGCCCAGAATTATAACCAATCATATTCTACGTGTCATGTTAAGCATAGGTTATGTTCATTCAATTCAATGAAATACCGCATTCAAATAAATTAATCTCATACCAAATAAAATATCCCAACTGGAAAGCAAATACTACATAAACATACGGAATCTTTTTTTAAAAAACGAAGGAAATAATGATGAACAAAATCAACCCGATCCTATTAATTTATTTTTTCAGTATGTTTAGTTAAACGTAAGTAATTTTAGATTTTCGTTTCTTTTTCTTTTCTATCTCCTCTTACCCCGTTTCCTGTCTAGTTGACCTTTTATTTTTATATATAAATGCTCTTAACAAGTATATGTGTGACCAGATTGTTCGAAATGTATTGCGCTAATATATCACATAGTTCTGATAATCTTCGTCTTCTCATTGCATTATCGAAATTTATCAAAGGGACTAATTGTTTTAAATTGTAATTTACATTGATGTCTTAGACTTTGGACTAACATCTTTTTTATTATTCCGTATTTATATTCTACTCATTGTCGTCACCATCATCATCAGTAGCAGCAGCATCAACAACAACAGTAACAAAAAAAACAACTTTACACAGTTAAATGAAAATACTTTTCTTAGTGCAAGAAATACAATTTCTCAAGTACAAATTATACATAGAATAACATGAATGGAATATTTTGTTATTTTTGTTTTTTAAAAAAAAATGAATGCAACTATATTTAGAACCAATTCTTTCTTTCTTTATTTCTTTTTCCTTTAACATTCATTAAATGTGATCAAAATGTGGTAATGTCAGACGAAAAAGAAGAAGAAACTAGCTCTAGTCAATACTGTTTATTTATAAACGCATTTTATATTCATAACTTGTGAAGTTTACTTCCAAGATGATATATGTTAATTCATTATTATTTCTGATTGTGGAATTTATTCCCAAATTTTAAAATAACATTATTGGGTTTTCCTGTACTAAACTTTCTTTTTTTGTATAGTCTGCATACATTATGGTTATAATGTTGAATATTATTTTAGAACTCCTGTGGTTTATTTTTACCTTTATACCTTTGTTTTTTTTCTATTTTACATATCCTTGATCTTTTCTAAATTGTTCTATTATTTTGATTAAACTTTTTGTACAACATAAACTGACATTCCAATTTATTCCTTTGATGTTATGTTATAAAGAATATTGTAGTGAACGAGAACACCAAATGTACCTGAATATAAAACTTACAGAACATCTTAGTAAAATCTGAGAACCATACAGTAAATGAATCATTTGTAAAATGTCAACCAATTGTCCAGGACTTCATTATTCTTTCGTTACCACACCAATCACTCTCTGCTATGTTTATATATTTTGATGAAGTTTTGTTCTCTGAGCTGGATGCATTGGTCATGGAACTTTCGTCGTCCTTCTGAACGACATCATCAGCACAAACTTCAGGTAGAAGTGAAGCGTTCGAATTTACTTGGTTTGATTTCCCATACAACCAAAACAAAGAAGTAAACAATGACAAGTTTAAGGTCAACAAGAACCAATCAACATCGAGGTCTACAGAACAAGCTGTGAACCATATATGGAGAAATTCGAACACTTCACTTCTATCTGAAGTTTGTGAAAATGATGTCGTTCATGGGAACGATGAAGGCTCCACGACCAAATCATCCATCTCAGAGAACAAAACTCCATCAAAATCATCCACCTGAGCTACAAATCTTCCCCACCATCTCAACGTTTATATGTATATGAAGCAGAAGATAGGCAATCAGACACATGTAACTTCATTTGACAATAAGCTTGTAAATCAAGACAATATCGAGGCACTATGCACAGCATGCATATATACCAATAAGAGACTGATCAATCGCAGTCTTAAACCTCAACGGGAAGATTTAAACAAACAATATCAAGTGAACAAGCTAAATCGTCTCGCTAATTTAGAACCGTATTGAATTTCATTAAATATACTTTTATGTAATATCAATTTGTGTATTTGAGTTACTATAATTTATAAACTTTATTTACGAGAAACATGTTTTACTATTTTATAAATGTTTAGTCTTGCGATTCTCACAATTTTATACAATCTTGTAGTTGACATTACTCAAGACGGTTTAATACAAGCGATAGGCTACTTTAATGAACAAAGAATGATCAAAGCAAATGGAAGTTTAGAGGTTCAAGGAAACGATACAAATGCAAGGATACAGCTTCATAATCCTTCCATATTTTTAAATGTTAGTTTTAAAAAATACCACAATTCTCTTCTCGTTGTACAAGCGATTAGTCAAGCTGATCATTGCCCATTCCAATTCAGTTGTAAGTAAAATTTGCTATATTATTATTATTATATATTGATGGGTGTGTAATATGAGAGGATTATTCATCCGTATTTAGTCAAAGTTATAATATATGTAACAATCTCCTTTTCAGGTTTGATTTGAACCATTCACATATTTTGCAGTTAGCAATTATTATTTCATATCAACTACCAGGTAATTTAATGTATTATGTGATTCTAATTATGTAAGTTAAAACCGATTTCATCAAAATACCCAATCACTTTAACTAATGTTTATATTACAACTTTAATCAAATAATTCAATCAAAACTAATAACAAAACAATCAATTATGGATTATTATCAAATGAATGATCAACCTAATTATAAACTGAAATGATCTTCTAATTTACTCATACTTGTTTATGTTCAGCAACATTTTATAACTTTAATAACTGAGACAAACGTTATTTGATCCAATTATAAACTGATAATAATATAAAAAAGGCTAAGATTCTGTTTATTGTAGTGATTACATATATATAGTATATATGCTTTCTGAACAAGATATTCTTACAATGTTTAATTCTGTATAATGGCTCTATACACTGTATATCGTTTACATTATTATATAATTTGTCTGGAATTGACAGATAATATAAACACAATTAGAATAACATCTAAAACCTAATACACTTTTTTTTCTTCTTAGGAAACAAACAAAACTTAAGTGAATATAACGATGTATAATGTTTAATACAAATGTTTACAATTTATACTACTAATACTAAGTGTTTTCTCTAAATGATATTTTTATATTATTATTCTGGACGGCAATTTCTCTAAAAACAAAAATGCGAAACAAAACAGTAATTAAAGTATCAGTCTTGTCTATAGAACACGTTTTTTTTCTAAAAAAAAACTACTATGTTGAAACATCCGTAAAAGTCGGCTTAAAGAACTTACAATTAGTATTTCTCATTACATTTTTTAGATGAAAGACTATTCTTCATCATTCAATGATGAGTTGATTTGAAAGTGGATTTTATCTTTGACTTACTAAAGTAAACTAATAAATAATAATGCACCAAATAGAAAGAAACAAACCTTTCTCTATGTGAAAAAAACACACACTCTTTATAAGTAAACAATACATTTTGTATGTAAGTACATTTAACCAAAAGAAGTACTATTTCAATAAAATGGTTTAAAAATAAAAAAACATACACGCACACTTAATAAAGTGCTAGTTAAGTGAAAATATTTTAATCATTGAAAGGAAACGATTGCACAATTGTTTCTAAGCTCATTTTTTTATTTCTGACTAAAAATTTTGAAAAGAGAAGATATTAAATAACCATTTTACCTTATCTTCAAATGGTTTTTTTTATCATTATTTGTTTATGAAATCAAAGTGATCCTGATCTACAATTTTAAAGAGCAAAGTGAGCTTGATATGTTCAAACTAATAAGTGAAATTATCTTTGGTTCATATGTATGTACATAGACTTAAAACAATATGTAATATATTTTATATATTATCTGATTCTTAATAGTATATCAGTTGTTGTTCGTTAATTTTTATTCTGCCAATAACAAATGGTGTCTAGCCAAAATGCACTTTTATGAAACTCAGAAATTATGTTTAAACAATTTGGTCTATATCATATTGGGAATTATTGAGAAGAACCTCATATAAATGAATACTCGAGGAAAAAACTGTCGCTTAATGGAGAATATATTTCACGAGGATATGATGAGAAAATCATAATGGTATTGAAAAAACCTTCATTATGGCTCAATTAGTTTATGCAACAATAAATGTTCATTACATTGCTCAGAAATAGCACGCTTCCAGTTGCATTTTATAAATTTAAACGCGACTACAGTAGGTGTACGAAAAGGGCAGGGTAGAAATTTTGTAACATGTTATCCAAACGTTCTTCCTGAAACTTGTGTGGAATAGCCAGGTCCTTGATAAATGGTGGACATAATGTGGAAATATATGAAGCACTTAAAATAATTTAAAAAATAAACTTACATCACTTTCACTCCATTTTTGAGCGGCAACTGCAATCAAGTTTTCCCGACTTGATATTTGTATACGGAAGGAAAGAATGATATACCTTTCTTTGCTATGGTGATTACACTTGCAATCAGGTAATTCTTTGGTTTGCAAAAACTCGTATTGATACTCACATATCAACTTGATTTGGTTTCTAATTACGTCTAATAATTATGCAATCATATATTAATTTCATTTATACCATTTAGTTCGCTTTTTCTACTTCCTTATTATTATTAACTATAAAACCAGTTGTACTCAGTAAAATGATTTTTTTCTAACATATAAACACGCATCAATCCTAACGACGTTCAACCACACACAATTTCTGCTCTTTTCTTAATAATTTTCTGTTTCATTGTGAGCAGAGATGGACGATGAATCGTAGAGGAACCTAGGAAGCGCATTTTGTCCTATTTTGAAACTGGTTAGCTAGATGTACCTGAATCCCAGAGCTGGTGTTCGTTCCGGGACTCAAACCCAGTATCAGCATCGTAAATGCACATTTCTGAGGAGTCTTATACTGGGACGAGATAGATTTCCTGTGCTTTCTCGTTTTTGTTTGTTCTTTATCAATAATTCGCTCTTTGTATTCCTCCAGACATTGAGTTGAAGTATCACTTCATATATTTTCTTTTGTTTTTTTCAAACTATATTCTCAGTCTTTTGCCTATTTAGTATTACTGCTAACAAATTAATTCAGTTCCCTTATTTATTTTGTTGACTTCATCTCCTTACAATAAAGTGATACGGCAACATGACCCAACCAATATCTGTGCTAAGCTCTATGTTAATTAGAATCGATATATTACATTATTTCTGTCTAAATACAATAGTTTATGCATAGGGTTCATGATCACACTTTCTTTGAAATTACATAAATTACTGATTAAATGCTTATGTAACTATCTATTCGAGTTTCAGTTTGAAGCTGCTTGTTACTAATGTCTCTCGATGAGATTTCTTAAGATATAGTTAGTGACTTTTACAAAACATGATGAAGAGACCTTTTTCAAATAAGGAAATTAATATAATTTTAATAGAGACGGAGATAGTTTATACTTACATCAAAACACTGAAATAAGCATTTCAAAAATATCTAACGTAAATGATCTTAAACAGAAACAAAAACGAAACACCTACAATTCACAGTACTATAGAAAGATATTACATTTAGAATGTGTTTTTTTAAGATTAAGACAACGTGTATTTTGTCTATAGTTTAAATTACAAAACAAACATGAATTGTCATAGTTAAATGTAATCCTAATAATTACCTGAAATAATCTGTTATATGATATAAGGTTTAGAGAATAGTTTCTATGAGCAAACCAAAATAATCATATGAAGTTAATAGATAATTAGTAGTAGATAGGTAGATTAGTAATTAATAGATACAGTACATCTTATATCAAAAGAGGTTATAATCATTCTCAATTTTCTTTTTTATCTCTAAATAAATCACAATATAATTCATATATTTCAATAAAGCTATCATTTAGATATATTGTCGTCATAAAATTATTATTATTGATGGTAGATTATATTCAAAAATCGAAATGTCCAAGATCTTTGATAGATCCTTAGTTGATTATTTAACAAGACTATGATTTATAAACCAACTAATCAGAAGAGAGCAGATCATGGATTTTGGCACGAAATTCATTCACTCATTTAGCCAAATATCATTTTGACATTATAACTAATGTCAGTTCTTGATGAAAATATTAAATCTAATTACTAACCCTAACATTCAACTACAAATCTTAATTCCTCGCGTTAATATATAACCCTTATTTAACCATAGTAAGTAGGTGGATATTTTTAAGTCATTTTAGTGTTGCTCAAAGATTGTCCATAAATTATAGTCTCACCTATTATTTAATATAAAACCTTTAATACTATAAATAAATGACTAAAGCAACAGAAAAATTACAGTATTTATTGAAAGTAAACTCTTCATTAGACATTTAGATGGAAAGCGACAAAAGACAAATTGAATACATTTCACAACAATGAAAATTTTATCACATTTTTCAATGTTCAACTTAGTTATTGTGCATCTTTTTGAACGTTTCTCTTTTAATTGTCACGCTTATTAATGTGAGACTTTTCTAATTAAACTTTTCACTGGCCCTCTTATCTATGGATACCGTTTTCCTTGAGGTTCATATATATTCTGTAGATAAATGCAACTTCTTATCGTGTTAAAGAGGCTTGAAACTATGACAGTATAATGAGTAATGTATAAGTACGTATATATTGTTTTTCTGAAGCGTCTAATTTTAGAGGAAAATGCATTTTTACTGGTTATTTGATTATTATACCATAAAAGTTAATAAAACAATACAACTGGATGTATTAATTTTTTTAGAACCCAAAGAGAGAGTCCTTCCTCGTGACTGAAGACAAGAACAATAAATGAGTGAAAAGCTTGACGATAATTGACTTCACTACCTGCAATGAGAAAACTTAGTTCACTGTCATTTCGAGCCTATTGACTACATGTAAATCTCATCTTCAGAATCCATTCAGTACTGAAAGATCAAGTGTCCAACAGTCATCCCTATTCATTATTAAGTTAGTGTATCCGTCCAAATCCATGAAGAAGAGACCTGAAAATTGGGTGACCGTGATAGGATAAGGCTCGAATATTTTACGTAGTGGCAGTTATGAGTTAATAATCATGTCCAAGATATATTGATTACATGTTCTCATCTATCATTAGAGACTTGAGAAAAATAAAAGGAAAAACACATTGTTGATAAGTAAAAAACCAATTTGATTTAAGACTACATAAAAATTTGTATTTAATTTATCATTCTGTAGCGACCAACTTCATTTCTGTCTATTTCTTTGATAAAGATAGAATTCTGTCGATCATGATTCATAGTGATCAGTAGTTCAAGTGGAATTATATAAAATGTACTATTCCAAAAGTAATCAAGCCCGTAGGCTACTGACCACACTAAACTCCAATTGATACAATTCTGTCATCACTAAAGGACTGGCTAAACATGACATTAACCAATATTCAGTAATAAGTTACTTGTAAACAATCTCAGTACTGTGAAAGGAGACCATTCCTGTCTCAAACTCTTGAGCTTGGTCACGTGTCATTAAATTCACCAGAGATTACCAATTCCTTCCAGATTACAAATACATTTGACTGAAAAATTTCAAACAACATAAAACCTAGGTCCGAATTTTTCTATCTTTTGCATATAACCACCCTACTATATAAAAATATTCACTGTAATAACTGTCTCATAAACTAATATTATAAATATTTCCTTGAAAAAGCTTGGACCAGATTGCCAGATGAAACGTTGAATTTACTTCGAAATTCATTCGCTAAGATTTTACAAACACATTCTTCTTCTTTAATGTTCCACATTAACTCGGCGCCAAAATATTGTGAAACTATTCGATCAAGTTTAAACGAAAATTCTTATTTAATATTATAAATATATATATTACTATTATTAATATTGTTTTTATAAGGAATCCCTAACAAAAATCTAATTCATTCTAATCATTAATTTTAATCCTTTAAAGAAAAAAATTAGATTACATTTTTCCTATTACTATTGAAATCAAGAAAATCAATTCATCATTGAAAGAATTCAACATTCAAGTTTTAAATGTTCCTCCTTTATTATTTTTATTTTTTCCAAAAATTAATTAATCTGATGCTAATTAATAAAAATAATTCGTTCAATAGTTAAGATCATGAGTTAATTGAAGCTAGACCACCATGAAAAACCTGGAAGCACTGGAAGGCCGTTTCGTCCCATTGTGGGACTCCTCAACAGTGCGCATCCACGACTTCGCCCCTGCGAGATTCGAACCCAAGACCTACTGGTTTCGCACGCGAGCACTTAACCACAATAGGACGAAACGGCCGTTCAGTGCTTCCAGGTTTTTCATGGTGGTCTAGCTTCAATTAACTCATGATCTTAACCATTGAAATTACTATAATATCAACCAAACCCATCTGATATTAAGAATAATTATGTTTATTTCTATTTTATTTTCTAAATTTTTTTTCTCAATAGTGATTAATTATGTAATCAATCAACAACATCTTAAAATGTTAACAATCAATTCACTTCAAACAGTATTGTCTTTGAATGTATCCAACTTTTTGAAAATATATTGGAGTATTAATTTAAATTCTACAGAAGATAATAATTTACCTTCATATTATAGTAAAATGTTATTCAATATAACAATATTTCAACATTTCCTAATTTATCAAAGCTCAGTCTATTGGAATGAAACTTCAATTAATAATACTAATGTGAATACAAATGAAAATGATAAAAATATAACAATGTAAGATTAATTTTAGTTTTAATTATGTATATCATTATTTATACCTAGTTTTATATATAGTACAACTATTCTTAAAAGATTAGCAATTAAACAAAGAATATTCTTAGAAGGGGTATTGTGGAGATTTTAGTAATTTCAATAATTGAAATTATGCGTCGATTGAAGTCAGACCAACATGAAAAATCTGGATGCACTGGACGGCCGTTTCGTCCTAGTGTGGGACTCCTCAGCAGTGCGCATCCATGATCCCGACCCCTGCAGTATTCAAATCCAGGACCTATCAGTCTCGCGCGTGAGCGCCTAATAACTAGATCACTGAATCGGCATCCAACAGTGTTAATATCTAACTTCAACCAATACACGAAATTGCGCCACCGTACTCCATTGTCTTCAGTGAGCTGACATCTCACAACAGACCTGGTCGTTTTGTCATGGCATCGGACTCCTAAGCAATGTGTATTCATACTAGGACGAAATGACGGTCCAGTCAGTCAGTCAGTCAGCTACAACGTAGGACCAGGCACATATGTGCATCGGTCCAGGTCGCCATACCTCATCAGCACAACAAGATGAACATCGGATTCATAGCAGTGGTTAGGTCAAAGGTGGTAATAAATAAGAGGAAGATTGCATATAGAGATATAGTACAAGAAGAAAGAATTGGTTCGTGGAAAGATATGAAGTGATTTTAATCTCTTAGTTTAAGGGAAGACAGGAAGTGTATACACCGACGCCATTGTGATCGATTCTGAGCCATGTCACCAAGAGTCTCCAACCATTGGTTACGAAAGTCACGCGGACCCCAACCAAGTAGTCTGCATCTACCAACATGGCTCAGACTAGAAGTTAGTGTCTTCAAGCACTGATGCCACGTTTTGGTTTGGCCGCCCCTAACTTTCTTCCAACCATCTCCAATACCGGTCCAGTGATCCCGGGTTTTCAACAATGATCTAAGATTGATCGATTCATTATCTCAATCAAAACTCAACATTCTCCACAACCCTATACTAATAATATAATATTTGTTGTATCTCAATCACCGAATAGAAAATGGATATATATTTTAATAGTTTAAAGATCCCATCATATTAAAAGACTAGTATTTGAGCGAAGAATATTCTTTTCGATAAATTCTCTTCAGGCTCTACATTTAGATATCCAAATTAATAATCCAAAAAATGATCAGGTTAAGGGCAAAGTACATCTTTTAAAGTGTGTGAATTTAGGATTGTTAAACAAAATACAATCAAATTGTTAATGTTAATATGACTAAGATAGAATGTTAACTTGAATCTGTGTATATGCTAAGTGAAATTTAAGATACATGATCAGAATAAATATGGGTCAGATAGGGTGAGAGAGAAATAGTAGTGCAATTACAATTCGGTCAAATGTTTAGTGGAACGCTATATTGTGTGAAAAATTAGTAAAACGTAATAAGGAGGAATGAATGCGAAGTGAATGAATCATGTATAGGGGAGATTAATAATGATGTTTAACCAATAATAATAATACAAAGATTTGTGAATAAAGATGACAGAGACAATTACAATTACTAGTATAGGAGTTGTGGAGATTATTAAGTTTTTGATTGAGATCATGAACCGATTGATGTTAGACCACAATTACAATTGACTACGAAAGGTCGTAGTCAAATTAGGTCATTCAATAGCTAAGATTACTATTAATTAATTGGCCTTGATGTTGGCCAGGGGGAGAGGAGTGGTTGAAGATATTTCTTCTGGACATCACCCTAAAACTTCCCCAAAGTTTACTACACTGGCTTCCCCAAAATGGGTCAACTTCTCCCCAAAATTGGGAGCTCGTGTATTTATTAGTTGTTATAATAGATTTAATTATAATTCGTCATTTATTGAATGAAGTATCTAAGATAACTAATTGTTTATTAATCCATATAATCAAAATGTAAATTGAGTTTAACCACTGTTTGTTTATTTATTCTCTATCATTAAAATTAAACAAAGATCTTAAAAACATCTTTAATCTATTTTTAAAATGATTCCTATTACTCTTAATTAAAAATTGGGAAATTAGACATTTTCAAATGAAAATACAACTAGCATTTTAACTATACACTTGCAAGTATTACGTAAGCAGTTAAGGTTGTTAATCTAATGAAATCTTCAATGTTACCTCATAAAATATTTCACTATATTATAGAATCAGATTTATGACATAGTTTTTTAGTGGCCCTATATCTGACTCCAATTAGATCGTATGAATAATTGGAGTCAAAATATACATCCTAGCTATCCTGGTATATAATTATCGACTTAAATCACGTTAGTGAATAACGGAATTAAAATAAGTTAAATACGAGAATGAATTTCGAATATGTATTTTTTGTACACTCATCTACCTGAACAGACATTCAGAGTGATGAAGCGAAGAGAAGAGAGAGGAGTAAAATGATGTGCGGTAATGAAGGATTGTGAGCCAACTCGATTTAATCAAGCGTTCATTAATAATTATAGCCAGATAAAAATAGGTTACAGACATGAATAGGATAAGAAGTGTACACACACATAGGCTCTTATAAAAACAGTTAGGGTTGATAAATGAATAATTAACAAGGTCAAAACGTGACTCAAGAAGAATGGATAAATTGGCGTGACCAGAAGCTAGAATAAGGTATGTAAGCTTAACATAGTAACCGACACTACAAGTTAATTGTCTAATTTAAATGATACATTTTAGAAAGTTTCAGTATTTTGTAAAAAATATATTTTTGTACTCAATATCGTTTGAAAATGAATATTGATCGTTAGCCTCTTTATGAAGACTGGGCGAATGAATTAAATTTAGAGGAGGTTTTTCCCAAGTACAATTATAAATAAACTCAAGTAGGCTGGATTGTTAGCATATCACCCATAAAAGAGACCTAATTTATTTTCATCATGTTACGGATAAAACGTCTATTTCATACTGGGACTATTGTTGAGTCTGAAAGGCTTTATGTGTTTCTAATATTTTAGTTACGCTTAAAGCTTCATCACCTTTCAAGATTTAGTTTGAATAAGTAAAAGCTTCAACCTCAGTCCAAACAACTGGGTTGATTCACCCTTACAAGGCGTCCTGCTATGATTCCTCACTGAAGTGTTTCAAGAGTACTAGACCTTTGTGGTTAATGTTGAACGTTGATGTAATCCATGACAATGATTTCACTTTCAATGCTTGTTTTATGTAACCAAGTTTGAATCTGAAAGATGTTAGTAATGCAAACTGATTTTAAATAACACAACTGTTAATTGAATGCATAGTACTTAATAAAAATCTAACTAACGAAATATATTACAGAACGAAATTAGGTTTTAAAATAGATTTTTACTGCTAAGATAAATTCGAAGTATGTGTAAGTTTCCTCTGTTTTTAAGTGCTCTGAACTCAAATACGAGCTTAGATACACAGAAATATTTATTTCAGAATGAAATCAGAAATAACCAGATTAACACACAGATAGATAGATATTCAGAATCCACATACATTGATAGGAGTGAAGTGCCGTCATGGCATTTAGTATCCAAGCTTCTCAGCTTTACTTATGTTTACGTCATCCATATCTGTTGAGAAATTCAATATCTTCAGCTAGATTTAATCAATTTATGCATTTTATCAGGTATCCTCTAAATATTCCACACACATACTCAGAATGAAAAACAATCAATTCATTTAACAATATCTGTTGTTTAATATCAGATGGGTTTTCGGGATATTATAGTAATTTCAGTGGTTAAGATCATGAGTCAGTTGAAGCTAGACCACCATGGAAAACTGGATCTTAACCATTGAAATTATTATAATATCCACAAAACTCATCTGATATTAACCAACATATTCTCACTAGTGACTGGCTTCAAGAGGTATATCCTGGAGTTATAGTGAGAAGTAGTGACCAGCAGAGTTCAACCAGGTCTGTTGTGATATATTAACTCACTGAAGACAGTGGTGGATGTTTCGCTTAATTTCATGGATTAGTTGAAGTTAGACATAAACACCGTTGGATGCCGGCTCAGTGGTCTAGTGGTTAAGTGCTCGTGCGCGAAACCAGTAGGTCCTGTGTTCGAATCCCGCGAGGCGAGGTCGTGGATGCGCACTGCTGAAGAGTCCCACAATAGAACGAGTCGGCCGTCCAGTGTTTTGAGGTTTCCCATGGTGGTCTAGCTTCGACTGACTGATGATCTTAACCATTGACATATTTGTTGTTTTAGGTGTATACAAATTTATCAATCAAACTTGTTACATCAATTCACAAAATTAACAGTCACTTTACAGTCTAGTTTCAAATAACACAATGAACAACAACTGGTGTTAGAAATATATACCACTGTAATTCAACTCTATTGTTTGAAGTTAACGATATTTAAATTATCAAACTTCAAGGTTCTGTTCTTAATGATGTTGAGGATGTACGTTTCAACAAAATCCTTAATAACTCGTTCCTTATTCTTGCTTTTAGCTAATCATACCATTTCGTATCAATATTTAAATAAATTAAGACATGGAAATATACAACAAAATACTTTCTAATTCAAGTTGTAAATCCCTTTTTGTATCATTATTATCATCATAAACGGCAACACTATTAGTAGTGATTGCTTTGCTTAACGATGTAGTTATCCATTCAAAATTATAAATATATACATAATTATACGCCTACTTATTATTATTATTATTAGTATCTAATAGAGTTTTTCCATTCAGTTGTTTTGTTTTAGTAACTTAGATATGATCAATATTCAGAATATCGTATTATTTCATTTTATTAATATTGACTATTCAGTTAGTATCATTTTAATTTTTGTAGAAAATCAATCCATCTAACTAATGGGTGTATAGTGATTGAATTTTAATTCGCTATATTTATATAACATCTTTGGTATTATTAAATGTTACCGTGTACTAATATGGCTATATAGTATGAATACTGAATAAAGACATTGTAACGAATATTGAATTTATTCTAACATAATACTTCTAAGTTGAATATAAGTTAGTCTCCATAATAATTGCTTTTGATCAATTTCAAAGAAAATTATTATGTAATGTTAATTTATAATATGAAAGTTTTTTTTCTACTTTCTAGATCACTTTTTGTAAACGTAGTTACTAGTGTCATTTATACGTTTACATATTTTAATATTGATTGTTAGTTAAAGTGGCAGTTAGTCAGTAACAACGTAGAAATTTGTTCATCAGTTCGAGTTGCCATACCACATTAGCACACAGATACAATTGTCGACTCAAATTCCGTAGTGGTAGAGGTAGTATGAATATTAGCAGTAATTGGAAAGATTAGGGTTTGAAGATGTTATTCAGGCATTATAATCCAGTGAAATAAATCTGGAGAGAGAAAAAGGGGACATGAAGAATTCAGAAGATTAGAATTTGAAAGAACACAAAGAGTGGATGTACCTGCACCATTGCAAACGATTTTGAGCCATGTCATTCAACGTCTCTAACCATCGGTTGCTATCATCTCGTGGTCCCCAACCAGGTAGTCTACACCTACTAACATGACTCAGTTCACTTGTCAGTGACTTCATGGATTTGTCCCATGTTTTGGTCTGGCCACCCGTAGTTTTCCCCAACCGATTCTTATACCATAAAACATCGCACGTCGGGGCATTCGGTGGTTGGGCATACGTAACACGTGTCCCAGCCATCTGAACTGATGAACTTTCACTACTTCATCAATTAATTTGCCATCCTTACCTAGTACCCGTTTCCTAACAACTGCATTACTTACTCGATGGTCCCATGATATACGAGCGATGTTTCGAAGACACCTATGATCAAATACTAGTAGCCTACGGATATCCTCTACTCTTACCGGCCATGTTTTACTGCCATAAAGTAGGACGGAACGAACTGCTGCGCAGTAAACACGTCCTTTGGTTGATAGATGGATATCTCGCCTACGCCATAAATGACACAATTTGGCAAAAACTAGCCGAGCCTTCTGTATCCGTGCTGAGATTTCGTCACACACCAGACCACAAGGGCTGATGAGACTTCCAAAATAAGTGAAGCGGTCGACACGCTCAAATACTTCACTCCCGATCATTAGTTCGGGTGTCGAAGCAATCCAATCCTGAAGCAACATTTTTCATTTCGAGGGGGAGAATCGCATCCCAAACATGCTTGCATTGTTTCTTATAGTGATCAGAAGACTGCTTTTCGTCGGCGTCTTCACCAAATAGAACTGTCATCTGTGTATTCTAGTTCAAAAAGTGAATTTCCCGGTAGATGAGAAAAATGTTATCTCCAAAAGCTCGTCTACGATAAAGTTAAACAAGAATGGTGAGAGTTGACAACCCGGACAAACACCACTTGAAGTAATCAATTCTGATGACAATTCACTATTAGCTCTCATTCGGTAGTTAAAGTGTACCAAAAGTATATCAGCCGAGTAAGTGATAATGAATTTCATTGTTTGGAGTAAAACTTCGAATAGAATACTGACCATCAATTTCGGGATGAGTAGTTTTGAAGATGACATCTTTTTAGTTTATTGAAATACAATTGATGAGATGAAGTTCACTTTGTGAATAGGAAAAAGAATAACAGCTGTAACGACAGACTAAAATACATAATTAAGCAAATGTAAAATGTTTGTTGCCCAAGTATATTCTTCATTTCAACATACAACTTTTCGAAATTTTAATACAGAAGCGTTCGAATGAAAGCTGAAGTTTCAATAATTTTATAGTATTTACCGACTAAGGCAACATATAGTACTGATCACTAAAATGAATTAAATTGGTTCAATCACATTTTGTCTTCCTGTTAACCAGCTTATTCAAACGTTTAGGGAATGCAAGGTCGTTTAAAAATAATTAAACATCATCTCACAGACAGCGAAAATAGATTAACTTTAAAGAGAAGGACGGTTCATCCACTAAATTTACTGATGGTTAAATACATTATCACTAAACGTGAAAAGTACACAAATTAAATCAGTATCGTTTACATCTTTTGATCTCGTTACCACTTTACTAACCATATCCTAACATAACTGACTGTGTTATCACTTATTAATAAAGAGGACCCAATTATTCAGAAGTAACTGAAGTTTAGCAGGATAACTTACTTGCGTTTGAGTATAATAGAGTCAAATTCATTTGTTCTACTCATTTATTTCCTTAATAAATAAATAAAAATGAGTTGGAATTGACAAAGTTATTGATAAAATTCATTCACTTAATAATTCTCATCTTTGTTTAACTAATTTGATTAAGTATTTAGTTGATATGAGATTATAAAGTTATGGAGTATTACATAATTAAGCCGAAAAATGTTTTACAGCTAAATGAGCTACCAAAAATTTCATGCTTTATTGATACTTGGGCAGTCAAATTTCTATGAAATTTTATTCCATTAACTTACTTGTTTAATTTTGCAATAAATATTGTAATACAATATTACTTACATTTGCTAAATGTCTTTAGGAATATATGTTGCAGGTTTTCATCAAGTTGAATATTTAATATCTACCTTTAGAAATATCTATTAACTTTCTCAAGTGTAATATATAGCGTACACTACTTTCTACAATGTAATTGTCCATTCATCATAACGGCAAGAATTTAAGGCCTTTAGTGGGATCGAACTCAGCGACTGTAAATCTTATAATAAATCAGACAATGAATCAAGCCGGAGTCATAATTCCATGATAGCCGTATCTTAAATTAGTTAATTTAACATATAAAATAATCAGCATTCATGGTTAAGTAACTGCCTTATTTCTAGTGTGATCTTTGAAGAATACACTTTGTCAATAATATTACAAGATGATGATCTCCAAATGATCAAATGATGATTGGTCAATATTGTTAAGTATTTCAAATGGAGTCAGAACGTCAATCTTCGTTATTGCTGTAATTAATGCCCGTACATTATAAAAAATAATGTAATTAGTTATGTATATATGTATGATCTTTATACATATTTGCTGGTTAGGTTAGTTAGAGAATAAATGGGACTATTTGAACATCAAGTGAACTGTAGGAAGGTATATGGGATTATTTAAATACTTATTTTAATAGTTATAATGTCTGTCGAAAATTTCAAAGACTGTTAACCGTCTACTAAAAATTTATATTCAGAAATTAAAGTAAACGTATTACAAAGTAACTGAAGAATTCTCAAAATAAATATTATGCAATCGGAAGAATGATGAGTAAATTGCAGATTAGTTGAATTTGATAACAACCACTGAAATCACTACTTTGTCATTTAAAAAAAAGGAGTAGATAAAACAAACTAATTTCGTGTAGTTGCTCAAATGTTATCAGCGAAACTATAAATTATAGCTGAACCAATCGGATATAAGTTACTGAGTCACGAATTTTGACGAGAAATTCATCCATTCATTTGGCACTATAGTTGATGTCAATTCGTGATGAAATTTTTGACCCTAACCACCAACTGTAAATGCGAATTCTAACTGCTTAATAACCCTAATTTAGTCCTAATCAGCAGATGTCCACTCTAAAGGTCACTTCAGAGTCGCTCAAAGGTCGTCCATTTAATTATAGTCTCACCATGTTATCATCTATTGTACACTCTAATACATCAATCTGAACTCATATTTTGTAGATAATTCTAATATTTTGTTTTTATACAGTTAAATCGCTATACATTAACAAATAAGATCTTCATTTTAATCAGTTCACTATACAATGTTTAACAATGCATATTTTTACTTATTTTATTATTACAGTAAAACAAAAGCTGAAAGCTCAGCATCCAATCAGTAAGTTAAAACGCTATTTATATACTTTATTTTAAGTTTCTCTAACGAATATTTTTGTCATTTTAATAAACCACAATTTGTCAGTTTTAGTTGTCATATAAAAAGTATGTTTTAAATGAATGTTTCTATTAGACAATAACGTCATCTATCCCAATTAGATACTAAAAACGACTGTATAAATATACAGACATTAACTTTTGTGTAGAAAAATCTCACAAACTTTTTTGTGAATTCATTTTAATTTATTTTACTAAAGTGGCTACTTATTTAATCCACGTACTATTCTGTTTTACTCACAGTCACTCAGACAGCATATATATACTTCAATGAATGATGAAACAGATCTGGAATATTCTCAAATTAATACCATAGTGATAAACATATGTTAGAAAAATGTTTAGATTGTAGTAGAAAATTTATTTAGATTATTCAAATTTAACGAGTCTAATAAAAGACACAACAATTACAATATGAATTAAGGAAAAGTGAATATGTTTATAGAGTGAGCATAAACTATTATAAACCGTTTTCAAATTGTGTAGAAAAGCTGATCAAAGCAACAACAACAACAACAAAGATTAACTAAATCAAGATGGAAAGAAAATGATAACCTTTTCACTTTGAATGGGCTTTTTGTTTTATGTTAACCATTTCAATAAATGAAAATTAAATTGATATTTGATTTTGATGGAGTTTTGTTTTCTGAGCTGGATGAAAGCTCCATGACCAAACAAGACTCTATCAAAATCAAACTATAGTACTATAAATCTTAGCTTTTGATTAGTAGTTTTCTGCAAAATGTCAATTAAAAAAAGACAACTGGGTAATCTTTTAAGAATATCATCATTTCTTTGATCAATAGAATTAAAGTTGCTTTCACAGAGCAGCTATACAAAAAACGTTTTCTTCAAAGAAACAATACAGAAGAATATTTGATAAAAAAGATTAATAACTGCAATGTCATAGTTTAACCCAGGATATAACCATGTAGCCGGGTTACACAAACCTGTGCATACTAACCAATAGAATTCCAGGTCAATAGAACAAACTGTTAGTTAACCGTGTAGAAATTTCAATAAGTCACTTTTATTTGAGGTACTTACTGATGATTTGTGGCTTCACAAATGATTAACATAGAAGATTTACAATGGAAATACTTATTAATCCTTTTATTTAATAAATATAGAAAGCCATGGTAGATAAATCCCTTGTTTACGTCAAAAATTTTTGATTTATAATCAGTCTGTAGTTTAATTTTTCGTTTAGATAGTCGTTTAATAATGCTCATGTATTGTACTAATAATTTTTATGAAGTTGGGAAAGCATAAAGTAGGACTAGAACGATAAAATAAGTTGTTGAAAAAAGGCTACTAACAAATTGCAAATTATTCACTTATTTCATTGTGATCAGAAACTGATCAAAGTTAGACAGTCAGTGAAAACATGGAAGCAGAAGACTACCATTTCATCCTAGTATGAGACTCCTCAGAGATGAGGATCTACAAACCATCCAACCAAAGATCCTCGGTCTCACAAGCGGCTACTCGACTTCTAAATCACTGAACCGGGATCCACTGATGGGAAAGCCTAATTTTAATCAATCTGCCAAATTGCTCTATCATCTCTCATTGCCTTCGTTGGGTATCTTCCTCCTGTCTAATTTCAATGAAATTCAACAGTATCCACAATATCATACTGACAAGAATCGCATATTTTCTATACTATAACTTCACATCCACCTCAAAAAGCCTCATATTCCCTTTAAAATGTAAGACATGCATTAGACGGCTACAACTGTTCATTACAAATGGTAAAAAGGTGCTGTTTCTAAATCTAACAGTATTTCATCAAATCACTCAAGTATTTGTCGCAACTACTTGTTCGCATAGATCTTCCGAAAGAATTCTCAACTCGAAAATATCTGTTAACTCTTGATATATAAAACTCTTAATTGCAAATTATGTGAGTGCCCTAATTTATAATTTAAAAACTACATAGAGTGAAGTGACTATCTACTATTGCCATCACTTGTATCTAATGCAATAAAACCCTGTTAAACACTAGATCTGGACATTCATTTGTGAAGATTATTGATAAACTAACTGGCAATTAGATAAAGTGTTTTACTTCAGCCCACCGCTTAGAACCAAAAATATCGTTCATACGCAACACCAACATTACAATACGAAATTCGTTTATATTCACTAAGCTTTTGATTTTCTTTGACTGGTTGAATTCAGCAGTAATAATCAAACGAACCGATTTTTTTTACATCGAAGAAAAGTTTTGGTAACAATGAGTTATTTTGATCATTTACCTATTATCTCAAGTCAACCAGATTTATTAAAACAAATACAATTTATCTGTAGGACATTTATAGTATGAACAATCATCGTCAATCTGAATCTAGGGTTTAATTACTGCTTGAAGCACACAGAATTCGCTTAGTTGTAACATTTCTGAAGACATTTACTGGCTCAAAATATTGGAGCTCAAAGTAAATAATGAAATATGTCATTAGAATTACTACGATGGTCTTCGCTAATTAGTAGCAAATCATCATCTAAGTGTGTCGCTAAAATTAACAACACAAAAAGTAGATAAAATTTTTAAAACTGATCAATAAAATTGTTTAACGCTATCGGCAGTATATAAATGACATTTATATTCTTTGTGTGGCTTGATATAGATTGAGTAATATGATCTCTATGTATACACTGGAATTTGAAGTCTATTATTTCTCATATGAGTATTAACTATATATTTTTTTCAACTTTTTCTAGCTTCAATTTCGAATGTACCATCAATATGTTTAAAACAAAAACATTTCTGACTCCGTATTATGGACAGCCGACTAAATTTCATATTAATATTAAATTTGTGTCTCCAAATAAAAATAGTCTTCGCGAATTCTCCTTAATGACTCATTATGAGGTTAATATTCAGCAATTAAGGAGTATTAAAACGTCAGTCACCTCCACTTTTGCCGATGAAGTAAGATTTTGACTGATCCATTTTCCGAATTAATAGTTTTATTCCTTTTATATAAAAAGCATATTATCAAAGTGTTATTCATTGATTCATAAATTTATTAGTTGTTACGCCAAAAACTGGTTGTTAAAATTATTAACAGAAGTTTACAGAATGCTTTGAAAAACATACTGACCAATAACCACTTATTATGAAGTTGTTTCCGTTCTCCTCGAAGTTTTATAAACTCATGGAAATTTTTATATTGTGCCCGCCTGAATATATTTAAGTTAATATATAATGATATTTTAGCAGGTTTAACAAAGGTCTCTTTGTCTACAGATGGTTATAAGCCTTTTAAATAATGCATAATTGTCATTATATTTAACAGTTTATCCTTGTTTTCATTGTAATTTTGAAAAGAGAAGTTAGTTTGTTTTTAAATTGCAGCATATAGTCTAGCATGACATCAGAACTTTCAAAGAGTCATAGAAAAAATCAAATCATTCACTTCTCCAACGAAAAAGCTTACTTAAGTTCTCAAATAACATCATACAAATATGAAATTTCAGTCTACATAACTGTGCGATGATCACCTACTCTAGTCGTTTACCGCAGTGAAACTTCTAAATTACCAACCTATTGTTTAAATATGGAATATTACTACCGACGTACATGTTCTGCTTTTCCTTCAGTTCACTTGTAGTTTGAAACTATAGTCAGTCTTTTGATATTTGCTACACTCTCATACCCCATAATTTAAATATGCTACCTCTAACATTCAATAAATAATTACTAAACTAAGTATGAATAAACTGAACAAAAAAACAAGAGATAATTTTGTCTACAACTAATCAGAAATATCAGTCACATTGCTTAAAACTGTACATTTGGTTTAAAATTATTGAAATAATCTAAGTGGTTGAACGGATGGTTTTCTTGCAAGATATATTCATATCTCGCGGCTAAACAGTCAATAGAAAATAGAATCAATGATTAATTGTTAGTATATATATATATATATATATATATATATATATATATATATATATATATATATATATATATATAATCCAGTAGAAAGAAGGTCAAGTGTTTATGGTAAAAAGGATTAACATTGTGTCGTTAAGTTACTTACCGAATAACAAATAATAAGTCAAAAATGAAAATAAAGATGATATAGATATCACTGAAGCTGAACTTTAACTGTGCTATTATTTACAAACATTAGAGATAAATAACATTTGAGCTGTGAACACATACGTTAAGAAAGCAGTGATAAAAACATAAAGAAGTGGAACGGTTTCGTCAACTCTCTTTTGAATGTATTACATCTAATAATTATTGATGTAATGTTTTACTGATTTAAAAAAGTTATAAATCTTGATAACTCGTCAATAACCGTATTTCCACAATTCAATTCATGAGTTGGTCTAAGCTAGACCATCATTAAAACCTGGAAGCACTGAACAGTCGTTTCGTTCTAGTTTTCGACTTCCCAGTAGTGCTCATTTACGATCCAGCACTCAGGACTCGTGCCTAGAACCTTCGGCTATTCAATACTTCCAGGTTATCAACGGCAGTCTTTTGGTGGGGCCCTTTAGTTTGTCGTCATTTAGATCGGACGTTGATTTCAAAGAGCTCTCCACTTTAGTGGATAGTATGAATGATTGTTATTGAATGAATGTTGTCAAAATGTATATGTCGCCTATCCTCGTATATAATCATCGCGTTCGTCAATAACGGAATTAAATAAGTCAAATACGAGAATGGACTTTTGAATACATATATTTTGTATATGAAGCGAGTGGAAGAGAGCAAATCGAAACGACGCGCAGTGAATATGGTGAATAAGATAACTCCCTTTAGTCATTTATTTTTATTTATTTATTTGAACACCTAAATATTGTTACAAGGGGGCACCAAATATATATCCGCCACACAAAACAATGAGAATGGAAAGAGAAGAAAAAAAAGAAGGTAAGGAGCGTTAAAAAAAAGAAAGAACAATAACGACCACAGATTAGTGTAAGGTAGTTTAGTAATAGCGATAATAATAATGAAGGAAACCGAAAAGTAAAACCAGGAGAATTCTTTCAGTTACGGAAAATACAACCACGTTTTGTGAAGAAAGTAAAAGAAGGTTACAGCCATATCTGATAACGTCTCTAGACACTGTGTTGCACCATCTCTCGGACCCGAACCAGGAAGTTGTGAAGGACCAACAGAAGCCAGCCCTTTGCAACTTTCTTTCATACCACGACACCATGTCATACACTGACCAACTCTCCGCTTTTTCCAACCAGTCCCAGTGACGGAAAATAATGCACGACGTGGAATTCTCTGGGACGACATTCATAGAACTTGTCCAAGCCACCGAAGTCGGTGTTTCAAGATGGTGACATCAATCACATTATCGTCTCTTCACCCGAACACACGACGCCAAAGCTCTGAATTACTAACATGGTGTTGACACTGGATGGCAGCAATCCTTCCGAGACGACGATGACCAAACACAGAGAGTCGTCTAACGTCCTCAACTCGGAGAGACCAGGTTTCACAAGCATAGAGCAGGATTGATCTCACCGACGCGTTGTAGATCCGACCTTTTACGGCCAGACTAACATCACGAAGGCGCCAAAGGTGGCCCAGATTGGCATAAGCCGCTCTGGCTTTCACTATACGTGCATTGATCTCATCACTCACACCCCCACCAGCACTTATGCAGCTACCCAGATACACGAACTTCTAGACTACTTCTATCTGCTCACCATCCAGGGTGAGTACAGGATTGGAATCCTGCCAGTCTTGTAGAAGTACTTTGCACTTCGAAGGTGCAAAGCACATACCATACCTACGGACACTGATTAAGTGCGGATTGCATGCCTTGGGCATTATCGCACAGTAAGACAATATCGTCCGCATACTCAAGGTCGAGAAGTCTTTCTCCAGGCAACAGATCCACACCACCATTACTTACATTCATCAGAGCTGTTTCCAGAATGTCATCGATGGCAAAGTTGAAGAGGAATGGTGAGATTGGGCAACCCTGCCTAACCCCACTGCTCGAATGGAACAATGGAGAGAGGTGGTTGTATGCCCTCACTCTGCCTGAGGTGTTTGTATATAGGGCCTTTAGGATGTTAATAAACTTCTCAGGCACACCCTTCTTCAATAGACAATCCCAGAGAACAGTCCTGTCCAACGAATCGAAGGCAGCCCTGATGTCAAGAAACACTACGATTGTTGGCCTTTGATAAGTATGGCGGTGTTCTAACATTTGGCGGAGGGTGAAGATATGATCAATACATCCTCGACCAGAACAAAAACCAGCCTGCTCCTCGCGAGTCAATCTTTCTCGGGTTTTGAACAACCTACGAAGTATGACGGAAGCCAATAGCTTGGACGCAATCGGAAGTGGACTTATCCCCCGATAGTTGTTACAGGAACGACGTGAACCCTTTTTAAAGATAGGGACAACTATCGACTCATTCCATGACGTTGGCACACTCTCTAGTTCCCAAACCTTTGTAAACAACGTCGTCAATTCCTTAGTCAAAAAGTCACCACCATCTTTAAAAAGAGACGGAGGTAAGTCATCTGGGCCAGGTGATTTGTAACGCTTCAAGAGTTGGAGTTCCTTGCGGACTTCCTCCTCGTTTGGTGGATCAGTCGTCACCGGCCATGGAGGGCAGGACAGTCTGACCGATGTTGCCGGAGCAGCAGGCCAGTTGAACTGCCCTTCGAAAAATTCTGCCCATCGTCCAAGACGTCGATGGATGTTAGTGATTGGCATCCCATCATCCTCGCAGATTGTTTCACTCGCATCGGACGTCTTGCTGCCAGTGGCTTGGATGAGTTGGAAGAGCTTCCGGTAATTACCAGATGCAGTTGCTGCTTCCAACTCATTATCACGCTCCGGCCACTAGGCTTCTCGCTCCTTATGCAAGCTTTGCTAGATTTCATTAGTTAACAGCCCTCGTTTGTGGTCTTGACATAATAACCGACACTACAATCTAACTTAGATCGACTCGTAAACTCAACTATGAAAATACTACAATCTCCACAAATCCTCAAACTATATATACAATAAATCAACTGATACTTTTAATCTTCAGTTAATTTTCGTTTTAATTTATTTCATTTCTTTTTTTAAATTAGAAGATTGGTTTCATTCTAAACAATCAACTAGAATGGAAATTAACTGATATTGGAATGATAAATAGATTATACAGTACAACTAATATTTATTCTAAATTAATGAATGAATCTATTAAATTAATTTTATTACATAATATCGAAAATCAATTATTATCATTAATACTTATGGAATATAATAATCAATATGAACAAAAAATTTATTCTATTAAAAGTTGGTTACAACCATGGCGTAATTTACATGAATTTATATTACAATGGCCAAATTTAAAATTACTACAAATTATAACTATATATGATATTATACCAATAGATTTATATAGTGGAATAACATTAGATCATTTAATTTACTTTAATCATATAAAATATTTTATTATAAAAAATCAAATCATGTTTAAATTAGATGAACAAAAATTATCTATTTTATATCAAATTAAAAGATTAAATGCATCAAATACTACTGAATTAACTTCAATGATAAGTAATATAACACAAAATGAAGAAATTATTTTACAATTAGAATTCATTATACAATTATATTATCATATCAAATTATTACCATTATATATTCAAATGATATGTGAAAGCAAAATTCATTTTTATTTATCTAATTATAAAATAAATAAAAATATGATGGGTAAATTAAAATTGAATATAGAAAAATTAAAAAGTGATATACATTTTGAATTATTAAATGATTATTTAAATAATCAAGTCAATAATAATATTCAATTACAAATGAATTATGATTTTTATAATAAATCAATAATTCATCTAAGTTTTAAAACAAACACACAATTGAATATACAAAATAATTTAATGATTTATTGGAAATCAATAAATCGTTCACAATATTTAATCATAAATTGTATGATTCCATCATATGGTAAATTTATTTATCATTTTAAACATAAATGGAATCATATTTATTTTTTTGAAGGTTCTAATATGTTGTCAATTCAATTATTTATAATAAATAATTGGTTGAATGGATTTTATCTAAATAATAATTATATTTTACAATTAAATACAAATGAAAAGTTATTTGAAATATATATTGAATATAATACAAATAATTCATTAGGTCCTGGTACACCAATACGTATAAGAATAATGTTTAAACATGATGAATATTATAAACATGGTAATTTAGAAATTAGTTTAAATTCACAATTAATTGGTTATTATATTGGATATGAAATGATGAATAGTATGATTCAATATCAGTTGGATACAAGTAATAATAAGAAATCAATAGATTTTATTAGTCATTGTATCATTGGATATCGTTTTTACGAAGGTCGTGGTACAAAAGGTTATCAAATTGAATTATTTATTATACAATATAAAAATAATGATCAACTTGATATTTTATTGAAAATTGGACGACCTGGTCTAGTTAATCATAATATAATAGAATATAATCATTTATTACAAAGGAATCAAACAAAATTTCAAATTTCTACTGTTTATTTAAATAATCCTTATTTTCATCTAAATTTTGATATACAATATATTGAGAATTTATTATTACCTATTTATTCAAATATTAGTCTATTTATTCCATGGAATCATTTAAGATTAACGATACAAGAACAATTAAAAATCAATAAATCTTCTTCTATCATTTATGAAAATCTATTAATTTCAATGAATCAATCAACAATATTTTATTATTTTAATCAATCATTTATATATGAAAATAAGTTAATTAAATCTTTAAATATACTTCAGAATATATATTTACAATGGAATACAAATGTATACAGTACACATTATAGTATATTATCTTATAAATCCTTACAAAATACTATGAATACTGAATACCATGAGCAATTTATAGGTAATTGGAATTCATCTATCTATTTAACATGGATTCATAATCATTTCAATAATAATTTAAATATTTATTATAATTTAACTGATCATATATGGAATAATAGAATTGATGGAAATATGACTGAAATCACTAAAATCAAATTAAATACTACTATATATCAATATAATTATTATGGAAATATTATCATTTCATTTTATCATATTGATATTAAACTTATAAATGCAACATATATTTCTAAAAAACAATTACATAATTCAATGATAAAGAATTATATTGAATTTAGTTATTGTCAAAATCAAACAATTCATACTGGATATTTAATAGAATCTATATATAAACAACAAAGTGGTTTGATTTCTTATCATTTTTATAATAAAATAAATAATAATACAATTTTAAATGTTTATTTAAAATTAGAAGATTTTGATAATTTTCAGGTTATTATAAACATTATTCCAATTAATTTTACTAATATTCAACTTATTAATATTCAATTAACTAGTAGTATATCTGTAAGTAATATTGATTGGATGTTAAATGCTACAATGGAAATTCAGCCATATTTACCTAAAATTTTGATGCTAATCAAAATATACCCAATTATGTTACATTTCAATAATAATAATAATACATTACATGTTCATTCTAAACCATTACAATATTTTATTATAATGAAAAATACAGATAAATATAGTGAATGGAAGCTTTTTAATATGTCTTATATACAAACATTTGACAATGACACTAATATGCAAGCTAAAACTGTATCTATTCAATTAATAACACCATTAATAATATTGCCTTATATTACAGTGACAGTAAATAAATCCATTCAACGTATAACTACTAATGAAACATTGAACAATTTAATTGAATTTAATCATACTACTAATTATAATCAGTCAATTAATATCCAAATGAATTCAATACAAATCAATAATAATAATTTAACGATTTTAATTAATATTCATAAAAAGTATAAATTATTATTAGATATTAGAAAAATTATAAAAAATTCTTTATATTGCCATTTTATAAATATTTCATTATTTAATAAACAAAAACAATTAAATAATTTTGTACAAACTTTCGAAATAAATCAATTAAATAAACAATTTAACATTTATCAATTAAAACAACATTTACAAATACTCAATAATAATAATGATAGTTGTTATTATAATTTATTATTCAATTTAATTCATTCAAATGAAGACAAAAATAATTTGTTTAATTTATTTAATTTACATTTTAATTCAAATATACCAATATTAATTAAAGAACAAATAAATGAAATGAATATATATTTTGAAAATAATAATAGTATTATTGATAATCAGATTAGTTTTAAAACAATATTTAATTATTCATTAAATTGTATTCAATTAATTTATTATCAATTACAAATTAAATTAATTAAAAGTAACTATTTATTATTATTTTTAAAATATGAAATATATTCAAACAATAAATGGATGAAATTTAAACAAAATCAAAATTGTTTTGTCGAATTTCATATTTATAAACAATCTAATTATTCAATTATATTTAATTATAATGAAAAATATTCAATCATAAATTATGATGTATCACAGTCCTTATTTATATTGAACATTGAAAAGTTTATATTTTTTAAAACAAATATCATGAAATTTATTTTATTATTATTATATAATACTACTAATCATTTGAATTATACAAAACAAAATATACAACAGATTACCAATAAAACTTTATTTATAAATAATGAAAATAATTTAATCGATTTTATTGTAATGATTCCAAAACTTATTGATTTCATACTTAAATTTCAATTATATAATACTATTGAATTTCAACAAATTTATCAAATTTCCATAATAAACATGAATGTATCTACTAATTTATCATTTATTCCATCTATCAATTATATTATTTCAATGAAGAAACAAAATATTTCATTCAAACAATTAATAACCAGCTTGGATTATTATGGATGTATTAAGAATTTATTATATAATGGTAATATTAATCAATCAAATCTTATATCACAGGCGAATCGTATAAATAACCAAAATAAAATTATGATAATCAAAAGTTATCTACAAATATATAAAATACTACTTATAACATCAATACACATTTGTATCTTAATCCTATAACTAAAACAATCACTCGATATATTATTGATATGAATATGAATAAAATAAGTGATGATTCAGAAAATCTCTATATTCAAGTTTATACAAAATATGATTTAATAAATCAAAACAATTTCATTTCTGCATTAAATTTAAAAAATAAACAAAAATTAATCAATTTCACTATATTAATAAATTATTTACATAAAAATCAATTTATCAGTTTATTGATTTCGAACATTTCAAATAATAATAATAATAATAGTGAAATAAATATGAATATTTATCAGAAAATGGGAAAAAATCAATAATTATTCGAACATTTTTAAGGAAATTAACTTATTCTATTGAATCAAATCAATTTATAGTAAATGAAACGAATAATATTTATAAAAATAAAACAATCATATATGAATCAATTAATATGACAAATCTTAATAGAAAAAATAATATTCGAATTAAATTTACTACTTATCAGAATTATTATATTCTGTATACTGGTGAGAAAACAGATGAACACATGGAAAGATTGCAACATATTGGTTTTAATCTAGAAACAAACATTTTGAAACAAGTAGATTATTTTCATTTTAAATGCTGTTAAACTGGATTGTTATTAATATTGGAAAATGTTTTTACAGCTGAATGAAAAACTGGACATTTATTACTTACTTACTTACCTGGTTACTTACTTTCGTCTTTTACTCCAAATAGAGCATAGGCCATCGACTAGCATTATCCATCCCACTCTGTCCTGAGCCTTCTTTCTAGTTCTATACAACTGTTGTTCATTTTTATCTTATATGTGTCCATTTCTCGGTGTAATTGTTCTTTGGTCTTCCTCTTCTCCTTTGGCCTTGAGGATTCTAAGTGAGGACTTGCCTTATGACGTAGTTGGGTACTTTCCTCAATGGGTGTCCTATCAACTTCCATCGCTTTTTCGTGATTTCTTCCTTCGCTGAAATCTAGTTTATTCCCTCACACAGTAGGTTGTTGCTGATAGTAATTGGACAACAGATCCGAAGTATTCTGCGTAGAGAGCTGTGAATAAACACTTCTTGATGATTGCTTTCGTAGTTTTTCAAGTCGCCGCCCAATATAGTAGAGAAAATAACTCAACTCGAAACTTATGAATTTCAACAAGCTACTCGGACTTTATAATTATCATTAGAAATTTGTGTTAGCTTTCATTAAGACGAGGTGATCATAAGCGTTGAAATGCATGTGATCAATTGGTATCATATGTAAGGAGATATACCTACTTATAAGATGAAAAAATGTGTTTTATTTGTCTCGTTTTCAATGGTGAACCAATTCTATCGACCCCTGGTCTTAATAAGTCGACTTTATTAGCAGTAGTATAAAACTGATCTGTACTTATGTTATGTGAACTTATTACACTGAATTTATAATCCTTAAAAGGAAATAAAATAAATAAACCAACTGAATTTTGATAAATTCACTTTTATTCATTTATGTGAGATATTGTGACAAATAAATATTTTGTGTTAGCATTCATGTGTAATGAATAAACCTAACTCGAAACATTAGGGTTGATACGGAGCTAAAGGTGAAAAACACAACAACGACAAGAGGAAAGAGTCAGACATGATTTAGCAATTAGATGAATGGAGATCATTTTAAATAAGAGTGGAAATTGATTAATGATAATATAATAATAATTGGTTGAAGTTAAACGTTGGCACCATTAGACGCCGGCTCAGTGGTCTAGAAGTTAAGTACTCGTGCGTGAGACCGATAGGTCCTGGGTTCGAATCCCGCTTGCTGGACCGTAGGTGCTCACTGCTGAAGAGTTCCATATTAGAACGAAACGGCCGTCTAGCGCTTCCAGGTTCTCAATGGTAGTCTAAGATCAATTGATTCATGAACCCAACCAAATAATAGTAAAATTTAAACAAATAATACTAATGAAGATTTTGTTGAATAAATTCTTAAAGAAAATAACAAGGAAAAAACAGGAAAATAATTATATAAAGCAAATACATTTATTAACGCTGAAAGCTAAACATATGTAAATTTCAGGTCAGTAATGAAAGGTATGGAGTAATATCAAACTGACAATACAGCTGAACTGATTTTGAATTATGTCACCTAATGTCTAAAACCACTGGTTGATACCTATCATACTAAACCCGATCAGAAAATTTAAACTCAATTTTTTTTAGTTATAAATCAGCTATATTTCTTAATGAATGGTAATAGAACTTGGACATTTGATTTCGTTTATTACATTTCACAATTGGTTTCTTCGCTCGTTTTACATTTTTTTTTCGAAATATAGGGTTCTATAAATATTCTAAGCAAAATATCCAAATCTACAGGTAACACTCAGCTGATAGTAACCATGAATCATGGGTATAATTCAACTGCCGATCATCAACTTATTGTTACATGGCCACATGTTTTCGAGGAGGAACATTATCCTTTATTATTTCTAAAAACTTCGAATAAGTCTTTGAATCTAACTGTTAGTTACTTCCAACAACCGGGTTTATTAAATACATGTGAGTAACTGATAAGTGTGCTTTTCGATCAATAAGGTAAACCATTGCATGTTGACCTAATTTTCTGCTGTAATATTTTATCTCATTAGCTTTAAAAAAATTTTCATCATTCACTAGCCACAATAAGTTTAACACATTTTACTCAGTGATGAACTGAAATAAAATATTTTGAGTTAACTAGCATAAATCTATTAAAGAAGAGAAATACTGTATTACGTAACTGTTATATATCGTAAACAAAATACTCGGACATTCAAACGTAAACTATATTCATAATAATAATCTCCAAATCACCATTTAAAGGAATCTACTGATGGACAAATTTAGATTATTCCTAATTTCATAGCTGTGAAAACCTAAAAAAATATCTGGAAATATGTTTACCTAAATTCTTTAAGCCTACAAACCTAATAAAAATAATTCTAAAGTTTATTCTTCTAGTAACATCTAGAAAGACAACGACACTATTCAGCTTAGAGAATACAATCTGATCAAAATGTTTGACAGAATAGTTCAAAAATAATTAAGCCAGTAGACGAAATATTTCATCAAAGTTCTATAATCAGAACTTTTCATTTATAATGACTTTCTGTTTTTAATGAAACATAACAGGAACTATTTGATGATTATAAAATCATACAAACTATAAGCTTTTTCATTAGGATAGTGATGAATTCGTTAATCATGATAAACACTTTACTCTCTAAAAACCATTTGTTTATTGAATAATACTCATAATAAAAATGACCATGTTGATAATTTTGTCAAAATGTTGATACCATTTCTGAAGAACTAAACACTTAGCTCTATGTATGAGAAACATTTTAAATTTTTATGAATAATGTATTGGTATCAGAAAGCGCTTTGTAAAGATTGTAGTAATTTCAATAGTTGGGATCATGATCGTGGATGTGCACTGCTGAGGAGTCACACAAAAAGACGAAACGGCCGTCCAGTGCTTCTAGGTTTTCCATAGTGGTCTATCTTCAATTGACTCATAAGCTCAACTTCTAAAATTACTACAATCTCCACAAAACCCCTTCTGATACTAATCAACATATGCTCACTAGTGACTGGCTTCAAGATGTATATCCTGGAGTTCCAGTGAGAAGCTGTGACCAGTGGAGTTAAACAGGGTCTGTTGTGAGATAGTATCTCACTGATGACAATGATGGATGTGTCGTTAAATTTCGTGTATTAGTTGAAGTTAAACATTAGCACCGTTGGATGCCGGCTCAGTGGTCTAGTTGATTACGTGGCTGGAGCGAGACTGACAGGTCCTGTGTTCGAATCCCGCGAGGCGGGATCGTGGATGCGCACTGTTGAGGAGTCCCACAATAGGACGGAACGGACGTCCAGTGTTTCGAGGTTTTCCATGGTGGTCTGGTTTCAAATGACTCACGATCTCAACTGTTGAATAAGTAAGTTTATGCTTATTATCTAACTAATCGTTTTTATTTCACTGAGTAACACATATTTTTATACCTACTGTTCTATAGCTCTTCAGATTATAACAAATGAACACCACACACAATGTAAATTCTACTGGAAAAAATGGAATTCCATTCACCTACTGGTAAGTTTCAACTTTGAATAATTATAAAAATTTCTGAAATAGCTAGAGTTTTTACAATGTGTGGTAGACTAATTTAATAAAAATGAAGGTTTATTAAGGTATACATCCATAGCAAATAATCTTTTAAATCAAACTATTCATTACTCATAACGAAGATGGTTTACATTAAATCTATCCCAATGCATCTGAGATTAAATCTTTAGCTAACGATAATTTCCTGTATAGGAGCTAAATTCACTTTAAGGTTGGTGAATTCAAAGAACACATCAAACCGCTTATTAGTTTGCTTTCTTTTAAGACACTTCAATTTAAATCGAATTCGAAATGATAGAGTTCATTTGTGTCTTAAGATGTGCATGTTGGTTTTGTGTTCTCTAATCTGAATGATGCAGTTGTGAAGGTCTCATCGTTTTATTAGACATCGTCACCAGTACATGCTTCAGTGAGAAGTGAGCTATTAGAATTTCTCTACAATAGGCCAACAATTTATTCTGCTGACCTAGAGTTTTATCGGTTGTTATCTATGATTGTATGCCTATTGTTTGTGTGTTGATTTAATCGTTTTTTTTACTAAACCTATTCCTGAATTTTCACTGATCAATCCTTCCTCTTATTGGCTGATAGATTTGGTTGATGTAGAAATGTCCATAAATTGATACTAAACCAGGGATCCCAGGTGTCTAAAACCTCCCTAGTTTACTTTTAGACTCATCTATCGAATACTTCAAAAATTTTTGAGTCGAAATCATATCTAACGTTTTCCACATCCATATGAGTAAAACTATATTGTTGCGTTTCACAGCTAACTGGTGCTCAAGTAAACAAGTGAGAAGTTACTTTGTCCTTTGTAGCGTTTGTCGCAGTTACTGCAATTTACACTGCCTACGGTATTTGTAGACAACAACCAACTAAACTCTAGGTCAATAGAATAAGTTGTTTGTCTATTGTTGAAAAATTCTAATAGTTCACTTTTCTTTGAAGTATGTGCTGGTGACGATGTCAAATAAGACAATGAAACCTTCACAACTACATGAACCCAGAGAGCATAACGCTACCAAATAAGTGAAATTTCCACTTTTCTTCAATGTAGACAGTTTGATCCAATAAACGTCTATACTCTTGTTGAGATGAGTTATTAGTTAATCTCTAATTTATTTTGTTTATTTAAATTGTTCACGTGCTTACTTTTTAGAATTATAAAAATATTTATAATTTGAGTCAAAACACTGTTGATTTAAATTGAGAACTCCTTAAATAACATAAAAAATACTATTATCTTTTTGACATTAGGGATTTAAATGGATTCTCATTTTATCCTGCTAATCTTTAATCATTATATCTCAAGTGGAGTAAATGCTCTTCAAAATAAGATGATTAAATCGTGGGCAAGTTTCGACAGATTTCATACTCGCTCTGGGTCACATGATAAGCTCGAGGCAAGTGTTTGGCGGTTATTTTAACTGGATTATTCGCCCAACCAATATTGCTCTCTAGATTTTCCTATCTGCCCAAATCTGTACACTTTGATCAAATCATGAATTGTAAGGAAAGATATTCGGCTTTTCGTACCAAACCTTCCTACATAGTCCTCTCCCTCATAGCTGCTTGGTGAAACATAGAAAAGCATATTATTGGATGGACAAAGTCGTAGAACATAATAGTCTATGGGCCTGATGACTTTAAAGTTTATAGTATTAAATTAGAAATGTAACGTTGTCTACAAATATTTGGTCTAAGTTCAATTCCTTCTTCCGATTTCGCTAACCACGTTTTGTGAAACCGAACGCGAAGTGTTTCTTGGTCTACTAATAATGAAAAGTATCACCAGTAAATATTTCACTAAACAATATGTAGAGTGACTGTAATACAAATAATTCATTTCCAAAGGGGTATAAATAAAAGGAACCTAGTGTATAATCCAATAATACGTAGGAAGATCAATTATAATGATGCAGTTTCAAGGCTTGGTTTGAATTTCAACTTTAACAATTACCGTAATTTTAAAATTAAATACATCGTATTTATCTAACAAACTTGTAATTATTTTCATTTGAAGAAAGGATTTCAAATGGTTCTGTAGAGCAAAACATGTCGGGTTAAAAAGAATCTTAGTTACTTACTTGCTTACGCCTGTTACTTCTCGTGAAGGAGTACAGGCCGCCCACCATCACTCTATATCCAACCCTGTCCTGGGCAATCCTTTCTAGCTCCTTCCAGTTGTTATTCATACTTCTCATATCTGCTTCTATTTCCCGACATAATGTGTTCCTCAGCCTTCCTTTTTTCCGCTTCTCTTCAGGATTCCAAGTTAGGGATTGCCTCGTGATGCAGTTTGGCGATTTCTACAATGTATGTCCTAACCATTTCCATCATCTTTTCCTAATTTCCTCTTCAGCTGGAAGCTGGTTTGTTCTTTCCCACAGAAGGCTGTTGCTGATGGTATCCTGCCAACGACGGACATTGAGTATCTTGTGTAGACAATTGTTTGTAAATACTTGTACCTTCTTGATGATGGTTGTTGTAGTTCTCCAAGTTTCAGCTCCGTACATTAGAAATATCTTCACGTTCGTATTGAAGATTCTCACTTTGATATTGGTTGGAAGTTTTTTTGAGTTCCATATGTTCTTCAATTGTAGGGATGCGGCCCTTGCTTTGCCGATCCTCACCTTTACGTCTACATCTGATCCTCCTTGTGCATCGACGGTGCTTCCCAGATACGTGGAGGATTCTACATCGTCCAGAGTTTCGCCATCAAGTGTGACTCCGTTGGTGTTCTCTGTGTTGTATTTGGGAATTTTAGTTTCCCCCTTGTGTAGGTTGAGGCCTACTAATGCAGAGTCTGCTGCTACACTAGTTGTCTTCATTTTCATTTGTTCGTGTGTGTGCGATAGGAGAGCTAGGTCATCTGCGAAATCCAAATCGTCTAATTGGTTCTGAGCTGTCCATTGTATTCCGTGTTTTTCCTCAGATGTCGAGGTTTCCATGCCTCAGTCGACCACCAGGAGAAAGAGGAAGGGAGAGACTAGACAGTCTTGTCTGACTTCGGTCCTTACAGGGAACGCATCTGTCAGCTGTCCTCCATGCACGACCTTGCACTGTAGTCTGTCGTATGAGTTCCGGATAATATTGACAATCTTCTCAGGAACTCCATAGTGTCGAAGAAGTTTCCATAATGTTCTCCTATCTACACTGTCAAATGCCTTTTCATAATCAGTGAAGTTGATGTAAAGTGACGAGTTCCACTCAACTTATTGTTGGACGACGATCTGCAGTCTGTTGATCTCAAAGTTGGGCGTCTACTGCATCTTTCATCCGGTTCAGCAACACTCTGTTGAAGACTTTCCCTGGTATTGACAGTAGTGTAATGCCTCTGTAGTTTTCACATTTGCTCAGATCTCCTTTCTTTGGAATCTTGACGAGGTGTCCTTCTTTCCAGTCCATTGGCACTTGTTCCTCCTCCCAAATCTTTTTGAATAGAAGGTAAGCATGCTTGTGGTTGCTTCGATGTCTGATTTCAGTGCTTCAGCTGGTATGTTGTCGGGTCCTGCTGCTTTCCCGTTCTTGATTTGTCTGACGGCCATTCTAATTTCTTCCGTCGTTGGTGGGTTGACATCTATAGGAAGATCTATGTGTGCTGCTTCGATGTCCGGTGGATTCATTGGAGCCGGCCTATTCAGGAGTTCCTCGAAGTATTCTACCCATCTGTCCTGCTGTTGTTGAATTTCGGTGATTGGCTTGCCTTCTTTGTCTTTGACCGGCCTCTCTGGTTTACTGTATTTCCCTGCTAGTTTCTTCGTTGTATCGTGAAGCTGTTTCATATTTCCTTCTCTAGCAGCTTTTTCTGCCGTCGTTGCTAGTTCTTCCACGTATTTCTTCTTGTCGGCTCTAATGCCCTCTTCACTTGTTTGTTTGCTTCTATGTATTCAGCTTGTGCTTGGACTTTCTCTGCTCGTGTTCGGCTGTTGTTAATTGCTGCCTTCTTGTTCTTCCTTTCTTTGATCTTGTCCAGTGTTTCTATAGAGATCCATTCCTTATGATGGTGTTTCTTTAGGCCCAGAACCTCTTGACACGTTGAAGTTAATGCTTCCTTGATGCCTTTCCAGTTGTCCTCCATAGTAGTTTCTTCTTCATTCAGTAGATCTTGTAAGGCTTGGAACCTGTTGTTGAGAGCTATCTTGAATTCATTGAGTTTGTCAGTATCTCGAAGGAAGGCTGTATTGAACCTTTGTAGTGCTGTTTGTCCACTTGTCCAGTTCTTTTTTAGCTTCAGTTTTAAATTGGCTACAACTAGGTGGTGATCTGAAGCTACGTCAGCACCTCTCCTGGTTCTCACATCTTCCATTGTCCTTCGGAATTTTTTGTTGATGCAAATATGATCTATTTGGTTCTCTGTAGTGTGGTCCGGTGAGATCCATGTAGCCTTGTGTATACGCTTGTGTGGAAATATTGTGCCTCCTATGACCAATTTGTTGAATGCACATAGATTTGCAAATCTTTCTCCATTTTCGTTTCTTTCTCCCAGTCCATGTCGTCCCATAATATCTTCATATCCAGTGTTGTCTATTCCGACTTTGGCATTTAGATCTCCCATCAGAATAGTTAGGTCCTTTCTTGGCATTTCTCAATGATTGACTGCAGCCGCTCGTAGAACTGATCTTTAATGTCGTCGTTGCTATCATTGGTGGGTGCATAACATTGGATAATATTCATTAAGATCCCCTCCTTCTTTGTTTTGAATGATGCTTTGATGATTCTGGATCCGTGAGACTCCCATCCTACAAGTGCATTTCGTGCTACTTTGGACAGCATAAGAGCGACTCCCTGAGTGTGTGGAGCATTTCCTTCTTCGTGACCGGAGTATAGCAGCATCTCTCCCGTAGCTAGCCTTTTCTGTCCAGCTTGGGTCCAGTGGGTTTCGCTGATTCCCAGTACTGCTAAGTTGTATCTCCTCATTTCCATTGCTATTTGACTGGTCTTCCCGGTCTCCCACATTGTCCGGA